CAGGCAAGAGGGACAGAGACGTGGGGACAGAGCCTCGAGCACAGGGCCCAGCAGGGCATCCAGGGCGCTGGGCCAGGCAGAAGGTCCTGGCCTGCCTCGCCCTGTCCTCGGCCCAGTTCCGCAGGCCCTGCTGTAGCCTTGGCGCTCGCTGGGACCCAGCACGCCCTCATGGTCAAGGCCCAGGTCCCTGGCCTGCCCCAACCTACTTGGGGGTGGGAGAGTCCCCCAGGGACAACCGCCATGCCCTCAGGCTCGAGGTCCACACGGTACTTACGAGATGCTAGAGTCGAGGCGGGAAGGGGCAGCGTGAGAGAGAAGACACAGTGAGCAGAGACCCTCAGACCCCCAACCGCCCTTCAGTTAGTTCCTTTCTTGTCATTGACCTGGAGGATCCCTCACAGGCACACAGGCACCAGTAGGGTGCCGGCTATGCCGCAGGCCAGCCCTTGCAAGGGCAGCAGACGCGGAAGTCACCGTGGCCCAGGCCACCAGATGCTGTGACCTTGTCAGGCTGCACAGAGGCCTGACTGTGCCCTGCTGACCCTGGGTCAAGCAGCGAAGGTAGCGGCCCCCATCCAGCCCAAGGGCGGTGGTGCGCTCCCCAGGGTAGCATACGCAGGAGGCAGCTTCTTCGGTATCGGGGACACTGCAGCAGAGTCCCTCCCTGAAAGGAAGCCCTGACAGAACACCCAGCTGTGCGAAGGTCAAGAGCACGCCCCCAGGGGACTAAGTTGTGATCGCTTGCAACACATGAAACACAAGTAGGCCGCTGTTTGGGGCGTGTGCGTGTGTGAAGGCGGAGCTGGGTGACACAGGGCAGCGAACCACCTCTGCTGCTGACTGCATCAGCTGCAGCCCCCAGCCAGGTCCCCGCAGGACAGGATGGACGGACTGGAGGACTGAGGGACAGGGCAGTGGGGAAGGGATGGGGCAGGGGAGGGGCAGTGGGCGTTCAGAGCAGCCAGGCCTGCCTTCCTTCAGACTGACACATTCAGGCAGAGCTGGCGGTACACGGCACACGGGGCTGCTCAGAAGCAGCCACGCAGGTGGGCTCAGAGGCAGGTGGGCTCAGGACGGGAGAGGATCCGGCAGTAATTCCTGAGCACCAGGAAGACGGCGCCCGGCCTGGGCCCGGCACACATCAGACGTGACTCACGCTTGCATAGTTGTGGTTGCTGTCTGGAAACTGAAGAGGTTTTCCTTGGGGAACCAGGTACGGATGGGGATGTCATCTGGAAGAGACCAAAGGAGCAGTGACTAGGCTGGCTCAGGGGTTCCTGAAGCCTTTACCCCCCTGTCGGGGAAGGGGATGCTTCTGCCACAGACGGTGGAGGAGAAGCGCCAGGGCTCCCCAGCCGCCTCCCAGGTCGGGAGGCCGGCGCAGGGCCAGCAGCCTTGGGTGTCCGCTCAGCTCTTCAAGGCACAACAGCTCAGCAGCTTGGTGACGCTTGTCTTTGCTTGGCTCTCCCTCTGCTACCCACAGCTGACGAGTGTTCTTTTGAGAGCACAGCCTGCCTCCAGGGTGCCCAGGGAAAGGATTGATTTTGTCTCCATTTAAGCAGGAGGGGAAGGGCAGGGACAATGGCTGCAGCCTCTCCTTGGGGTCTCCAGGGCCTTCTCTGCGGCCCACTCTGGCGTCCACTTGGTTGGACCTCCCCTCTCCCAGACCCTTCTCGGAGGGCGAGGTGGAGACCGCCCCTTCCCAGGGCCCCTACAGCCACTAGACAGAGTGGGTCGCTCTACTCTCTTCCCTGACCCCCGTCCCAGCCCCTGGCCTGGGCGCATCAGAGGAACATGAGGTCGTGGAGGTGAACTGCCCACACCCCAGGCCTGTGCCCTGAGGCCAGCTGGGTTGCTGATATGGAGGCCCAAGAGGTGCCCTGAGAGGGCGTGCCAGGTCTGCTAGGTAGAATTCTGCTCTCAGGAGATGACAACCTCAGAGCCAGGAAGCGTGGGGCCACTTGAATGTCCCAGGGAGGCCTCTTGCCGACAGCAGGCCTCCGGGGCTCCGCAGCCACCGGCACAGCTCGACCATCCTGGGGCGAGCCCCACTAGCTGGCTGGGCCCCAGGCAATCATGCGCCTCCCTTGGTGAGTAGGCCCCAGGGCAGGGACTGTTCCCCAGGACTCCCTGGAGGCAGCCCGATCTTCCCGTTCAGCCAGGTTTTCTACCTGCTCAACCCTTAAGACCCTCCCAGGCCCCCTCCTCGGGGAAGCACTCCTCCGGTGACTTGGTGCTGGCAAGGCTAAAGCCAACCGTGAGGCCTGAGGTGGGGCACGGGATGTGGCGGCAGGTCGCCACCTGCAGGCCGTGACCTGGGCACCCTGCTCTGCCCAAGCCTCACAGTGCTCGATGCTGGCCGACCCCAGCACCAGCATCCTGCCTGAAGCTGCCCAGGCCCCCAGCGAGCCCCCTCACCAGACACACGGTCAACGCTGTACATCCTCTCCAGCTTCTTGCGGCGGCTGGCGGCCTCAGGCAGAGGCGGTTGGTCCAGCCCAAAGGCCTGAGGGGAAGGACTGGGGGCGAGCTGGGCACATCCAGGACATTCCCTGGAGCCCTGGCGGCTGCCCGCCCAGCTCTGGCAGGGTCTGCTGACGTCCTCACGACTGCCGCCCGGGCTGGTGCGCAGGGGCTGGCTATGGTGGCGGGGGTGCTGCTCCCGCTGCTGCCGCCCCTTCACCACAGCCAGCTCGATGGCCTCGGCCTCCGGGCTGGGGAGCAGGGCCGGCTCCCCGGAGATGGTATACACACGGGGCTGGGGGCCCTCGCCGGCCGGCTTCCCACTGACGGCCTCCTCCGGGAGGCTGCCCTCATAGCGGCCGTTGGAAATGAGAGAGAGGCGGCGCTTGTTCTGGGGGGCAGGCTGCATCTCGGGGGACCCGTCGTGGCCAGAGTAGGCGTCAGCCAGCAGGTGGTCTGGGGGAGAGGCACCAGGTGAGCTTGCGGCCAGCTGGCCCTGCCCTCCCAGTCTCCGGGTGTTCTGAAGGCAGGGAATGAGAATACCCAGCGGGTGCCTGGCCCGCTGAACGAACCGTGGGCCCTGATGACTTCAGAAGAGGTATTTCTGAGCTGCGCACTCCCCCTAGAGGTTCACGTCTCACGCCTATCGGGGCCCCAAGCCCCTCTTACGTGCGTGTGGGCGACAGGCTGTGCTACCTGTGGGTGATGGGGGGGGCCCAGAAACAAGCAGGCCACCTCCCAGCCTGCCACCACGCCCATGTGCCCAGTGCCAACTTCTCCCCTCCTCCCCACCAGCTGGCCCCCAGAGACAGTGGTGCCAGTCCTGGGGGTGCCAGGAGGCCTGTTGCCATGCCAACAGCCCAAGCTGGGTGGGTGCCATGGTGATGAGTGACTCGGAGCTCCTCCTGGAGCTCTGGGCCAGGCGGGGCAGGGGGCGTGAGGAAGCCAGCCCAGCAGGGCACTAGCTGCCTGCTCACACCCCACAGTACGCAGCGGCTGGGCCTGACCTGGACAGGAGACAGCATCCTCTCGCCTAGGTTGGGGGGCTGTGGGTGGACCCCGTCACGGCACTGCCTCACGTGCCCTTACCTGCACCGTTTCGATTCTCGGGGTGACTCTGGGACAGGTACTCGCCAAACGCTCGGGCTGCTCTGAGGGGTGGACAGCGGGGTGCGCCGTCAGTGCACACCACCCACCCTGGCGTCCCCACCCCACCCAGGCCCTCGGCGCTAGCAAGGGAGGGCTCAGGGGTCACCCCCAGCAAGCACTCCCATCCCACCTCAGAATGCCCAGGGCTGGCAGGTCGCGGACCCTTGGGTGTCGGTGCACCTTGGCCAGACCTGGGCCCAGGTCTGCTTTCCATCCAGCCCCTGCCACCCAGTGTGTGTGAGGGTCGTGAGGTCGTGCAGCTCGCCCACCGCAGCCTCAGGGAAGGGAGCCGCACGGAGGTGGGGTTGGGGCGCCGGCTGCGATCACGCTGCGGGGGCGGGGGCGGCGCTGGCCCCGGCGATCGGTCCGCCGCACTCACCGCACTTTGGCCGCCACCGAGGACATGGCCTCGCTCCGCAGCGCCCTCCTCCGGGAGGCGACGGCGCCCATGGTCGAGGCGGCGGCGCATCCCCAGGCCTCAGAGCGCGCCCCGCGCCCGTCGCCTCCGTCGGGGGAGCCGCGCCGCGCCGGAGATCGGGCTCGGGCTCGGGCTCGGGCTCGGGCTCAGGCTCGGGCTCGGGCTCGGGTTCGGTTTCCGCATGGCCGCGCCGATCCCTCCGCGCGCCCCGCCGCACCGAACAGCACTGCCAGGCCCGGGGGTGGCGCTCCGCCCACCGCGACGTCAGGGAAGGGGCGGGGCTCGGCGGGGCCGCCCCCGTTACGTCAGGGCCGGGGCCGGGCCGTCCACAGCCAAGGCAGGGCGAGGAAGGCTCCGCCCACTGTAACGTCAGAGCCGGGCGGGGCCTAGAAGGGACTACGCTGAACCCTCGCCCACCACGCCGGCAGTAGGTAGGGGGGCGGGGGGCCAGGGGGCCGGGTTGGGCGGCAGGGGGCGGGACCAACCATCTCTCCGCCCTCTCAAAACTGCCTCTGGAGCTGGGAAACTGAGGCCTTCGGTCCCCCGATCTCAGGGTCCTGGGCCCTCCGGTCAAGGGTCTCCCTGCTCTCGCAGACCCATGTGCCCTGCTCCGAGACCTGCAGGGATCGTGGACTCCAAAGTCATAGAGCTGACAGGTCTCCTTTTTTGTACAAAAGGACCCCCCTGGCGCTATTTAATGATCTGAAAAGTAAGGTGTGGGCATCATCTTAGGGAAGACTCTTGTGTGTACAGAATGGAAACAATGCCTGAGAGCTCGGGAGGGCCTCATCCTTGGTTTGGGGTGATCCCAGCTGCACCCCAGACCTTGGGTGTCCTGCCTGCCTGGCTTGGGGTCCTGGGGTCCCCGCATGGTGACCACTCCGCCCTGCAGCCTCAGGACTGTGGGGCTGCCCATCTTGGTGCTGCCCCCTGCCCCGGGGGACCTCGGCACAGGGACCACATGTCCCACACAATCAGATCTACCTTTATTGACAGGCTAAGCAGAAGCATCAGGGGCTCTGACATCTCAGAGGCCTCAGGGGGCCCGCAGGGGCCGGCACAGCCCCCCAGGACTGCTGTGTGTGCAGGGGATGCCAGGACCCAGTGCCCCACCAGGAGCGGCCAGCGCAGAGAGGCCCCAGACACTCCAACACCGGCTGGCAGGGCCCTGGGCCCCAGGGTCCAGGGCCCCAGGGTCTCCCTGGCAGGCTGGGGAAGAGCTGCAGGAGCTGTGCCAGCTGGTTCTCTGAAACCCACCCACAGGAGATGCTGGCTGCAGGGTGCATCAGAGCAGAGACCTCTACCCATCTTGGTCAGAGGGCCAGGGGGGACGAGGAGTCCTGGGATGGTTCAGGGGAAGCCAGACGGGAGTGCCGATGCCAAAGCGAGGGCTTGTCCTCCTGGAAGCAAACCGCACACACGGTCAAGGTCAAGGTGGGGGCAAGCCAGGAGGGCAGCAGGGAGGGAGCAGCTGGCCTGCTTTGGAGCCCTTGGAGCTGGCAGCTCAGCTGGGGAGCACAGGGTGTCCGGGCAGCTCACTGAGTCGGAGCCCAGGTCGGCTGGGGCCGCCCAGCAGCACCTCCTTGTATTCGGTCTGGTGGTCAGACTCATCTGGGCAGAGAGCAGGGCCATGCAGGTATCCTCTTGAGAGCAGGGGCAGGGGCTGGCATGGGTCCCCATATGCAGCCTACCGGGGCCAGGGGCTGCTAGAGGGAGCCTGGTGGCCAGGGTGGCTTACTGAGAGTGTCAAGGGTCAGGAGGGGACATTGCCACTACCATCCTCAGCTGTGTGGGCATATGGCCCGGGGTCCAACTCACCACGTGCTGCAGCCCCCTTGGCAGGCTCGATACGCGATACGATCTCAGCGAGGTCCATGAAGGAGGCGTTGGGGCAGGTGAGCACATTGGGGGCAGAGGCGAAGGAGACATCTGGCGAAGCCCCTGACCGCAGCCAGCCCCACGCTCTCTATGACCCTCTGTGGTCCTAGCCCTGGAGTGCCGGTGGGGCACGGATGACAGGCAGAGTCCTGAGCAGACCCCACCCACAGTGACATCCTCTCCCACGTGAGCACTTCAAGGGTGGAGAGTCAAAGGGGGGCAGAGGCCAAGAGACAGCCCCCAGGGCCACTGCCCTTGCCCTTGTCTTCTGGCCCCTGGGGCAGGGCAGGGGAACCTGCAGGCCTGAGCAGTTGAGAGGGTGTGCCAACGTGCTGCTGGCTGCAGGGAGCCCTGCCTCTCTTTTGGACTGGACAGCAGAGGACGGGTCACAGGAGTGGAAGAGGAAGGAGGGGTGCCAACTCAGGCACTCACATCGCACGCCTTCACCTTGCTCGTCCCCTACTGATCCTGCAGCATGTTCTCCAGCACGCCACTGCGACCCCAGATGTCAAAAACTGTCCGGCCGTGCTGGTACCCCACCTCCTGCACACACACCGGGAACCCCGTGACCGGGACGCGAGAGCAGGGATGCCTGGGAGGGGCAGCCGGCCTGGACACTCACGCAGATCTCGTCGAACTTGCTGAAGTCCAGGGTGCCGTAGCTGTTGGGGGGGGGGCGCAGGTCCTCGCAGTAGTCGCTGCTCTTCATCTCCAGCTGCCGGACGCAGCACACGTAGGCCAGACGCGTCTGGATCTCCACCATGTTCAACACCTGCTGTGTCACAGCCCCTGAGTGTGGCTCTCCTGTCCCTGCGTGGCCCCTGGCCTCCATCTGGGCACAGCCACTGAGTCTCCTGCCCTGGCCCTTCCTTCCCCTTCCCTCCCCCCAAGGGGAGGTAATTTCTGCTAGGCCTGGGGGGAGGCTGGGCCCCAGCCAGGGGTCCTGGGGTGTGTGGAGCCTTTAGGCCTGGCTCCTTTCCCAGGGCTGGTCCCAGGCGGGCAGGGATGGTGAGTGACCGACCACCACCCTCCTGGACCCAGAGCCTGGAAGGTGCACCCCCTCCCTGCCCATCTCAGGGTCTCAGGGACACAGGCGCCAGGATGTGGGGAGGAGCAGCTGGGGTAGGCAGGGCTGGGCCCCCACCTTGACCTTCGTGGCCAAGGGATTCCAGCGCTTCCACAGCAGCCACCACCTGGAGAGCGCATCCCCGTAGTTGGTGAGGTCTGTCTCATCCTGGCTGCCCATGTCAATGGCAATCACCACCTTTGCCCCCATTGACCTGGCCACATCTGCTGGGGAGGAGGTGGCCTGGTCACCAATGGGGACAGGTATGCAGAGCCCCAGGCGGGAGCCTGGCTGGGGTGACGGGTCAGAGCTGGGGGAAGTTGGGGTGGAGCCAGGGCTGGGGGCAGAGCTGCCTGAGAGGCGCTGAGAGTGGAGGGACGGGGGTGAGGGTTTGGAGGGTGGGGAGGGCCTCCTCTCCACCCTCACACCTGGGCCTGCGGAGGGGATCGGCCAAGCGCACAGAGCTGTCCAACAGGTGACAGGTGTGCCCCAGGAGGGGCCTTGCCCACAGCAGACCCGACACCTGCAGGCTGTTAGTTCTGACTGTGGGCACAGACGGGCCCTAATTGCGGCCGGCCCCTCTACCTGGCCTGGTTCTGAGCACTGCTGAGCCGACAAATAGAGCCATCTGCTGGGAGCACGCAGCGCCGAGCGTGCGCACGCCTATAACCCCCAGCGCGCAGGAGCGGTGGGGCTGAGGCGGGGCTGGGCGGCCGCCCCCATCCGCCACAGTACCTGGGAGGTTGTTGATGTAGCCCCCGTCCATCAGCAGGTGTCCATCTTTGGGGTCGCAGAGCGGGGGCATGTAGCCCGACGGGGACATGCTGGCACGCACGTACCTCCACAGTGAGCCTGGGAGGGGGTCCAGAGGGATCGGGGGAGAGGAAAGGAGCCTTTCGCTGCCCAGGGTGAGTTCCTGCCCTGGACCCTCGGCTCAGAGCCTCGCCGACATAGGTCCTGAGCCCTGCACGTCTGGCCTCCGGCAGAGAGCACCAGGCCCGGGCAGATGACACCCTTCCTGGACATCCTCCCCCTCAGACGGAGCCCAGGGGGGCCGGGCTTGCTCTGGGCCTGCCCACATCTCCCCTTGCCGTGAGCTTCTGCCAGCCCTGCCACCCCACTCACTTCTAAGCAGACACATTTTCAAGGGGCTCCCAAAACACTCTGGCCTGGAGAAGGGCCTCAGCCGCCCACCCACAGATGGGCTCTCTCCTCAGCATTCTGCTCCGACCCACACGCAGCTGTGACCCACGTAGGCCCTCAGTCTGCCCCTCTGCCCCCGTCCCATCTCTACCTCTCCCTGCGCACTCTTCAGCCTTCAGGCCCAGAGCAGTCATCTCTGTTCACATCTCCCCGAGCCTCTTGCCTCCTCTGGGAGATCCTGGGGCTTCCCTGGGCCTGGCCTGGAACTGGCCCCTTAACGCCCCTCCCCGCTGGGGAGCCTGCACCCCGGGAGGAGGTGCTCACCATCTGTGTGGACCCGCATGGCAGAGGCTGTGATGTCTGTGGTGATGGTGAAGTAGGGGACCCACAGGTCCTGTGAGGGGAACGGGACTCAGAGGAACCACCCCCGGCTGCCAGCCCTTGACCCTGTGGGCCCAGGGTGTCCAGACCCAGGCAGGCTGAGGCCGTGGGCTCTGCTGGGGCTCCCCAGGTGGTCCCTGCCAGGGGGTGCACCTCGATCTGCCTGTCCTTGAAGACACTGCCGATGCTTCTGCTGAAGCCAGCCCCCGGGAACACGAACACGGAGGGGATGGGGTAGGTCAGGTCCAGCATGGTCTTTACCATCGACATCACATCCTGGGGGGTGGCACACGGGGGCACGTGTGAGGCCTCTGCAGAGGAGAAGGGGCTCACTCCCCGCCTCCCTCTCTGGGCACCGGCAGCAGGCGACCCCGAGGGACCACCAAGAGCCTGCGTCAGGAGAAGGGAGCAGGGACCTGGGCACTCACGTGCGCTTTCTGCGAATAGAAGCCTGTGGGGAGCAAACACTGTGGCCTGAATGGCAGGGCCTGGAGGTCCCAGAGGAACGCCTGCTGACCCCGGGCAGGCCTGGCCAGCTGGGCCCTCACCGCCCGCTCAGCGGGGACGGCTCAAGGCTCACTGGGACAAGGCCCATCCAGGACCAGGGCCAGCTGAGCGTCCACCACTGCCCCTCCGGCTGGCCTGGGCTTGGCCTTCACACTCCACCGCGGCAGACGCTCCACCCCTCTGATCCTGGGAAGCAGCAGCCCTACCACGGGCCCTCACTGCCAAAGCCCCATGATCTCTGGTAGGACCGAGGCCCATCCTTCCTCAGTGAGGATGGGGGCCAGTGAGACCTGTGAGCACAGGGCACAGGACCAAGAATGCCTGACTCCTCAGGGGTCAGGGATGGAGAGGAAGGGTCCTCCTTGCCTCTGTGTGGACAGACGCTGGGATGGGCTGTAAGTGGGCGTGGGCCCCCAGCTGGGGGTGAGTCACGCGCCCCCAGCCGCTCTCACTGAGACTCGTGGACGAGCAGAAGGCACACACGTGCCCCTGGAGGACAGGGAACCAGGACAGCCTGGGACATCCCCGGTGTCCTCTGCGGGCAGCAAGGCCCTCACTCCCGAGGAGGCCCTTGCCCAGCACCGCAGCCACCCCACCGTGCCCCCTCCACGTGCCAACGGGTGGGACCACAGAGCAGCCTGGGAGGTCCATCCCCCATGGCCCACAGGGTGGCTGCCCAGTGGGCTCCCTTGGCCCAGCGCAAACTCAGGGTGGCAGGACATGACGCCCGAAGCCCCCTGGCTGTTCCCACACCCGTGGGAGAGCCCTGCCCGACCTGCACGCAGACCCTTGCTGAGGCTAGAGCACCGTCCCCCGCGGCCACTGCCCTCGGAGGCTGTCCTTAGTGACCGGAGCCGAGCAGCCCGCAGCCCCCAGGGAGACTGGGCGCCTTGGGGATCTGTGGATCGGGCAGATGGCCTGCTCTGAGAGCTTCTGCTCAGAGGAGGCCCATCTTTTCTTTTAAAAATGAGAATGCCAACACTTCTGAGCCCACTCTTGGTTTCAGCCAGGGCTCCATTCTGCTCCACAAAAAACGAGCAGAGCCCTGAGAAGGGCAGACTGCAGCCCGCCTGCCCCGGGTGGGTCCCCAGATCCTGGACTGTTCCCTGGCGTCCGTTCACCGCAGGGCCAACTGTACCAACGACATATATTTCTTACTTTCTGTGTCCCTGATGCTCTGGCATTTGGGGTCCCGCACACCGGGGGAGAGAGACAGACCTGGGCTCACCCAGCCCTTCCAGAGCCCACACCCGACTACCTGTGTCTAACGCACACCCCAAGCCTGAATCACCCAGGGCCAGGGGCCAGGCAGCTATGCCCAGAAACCCACCGGAATTATTCGAACAGGCAGATCTTAAGCTGTGTGCCCTGCCCCGCCTTGCCCTTCCCACAGAAACCCCAATAAGGGCCCCGACCTAGGCCTTGCCCCCTGCCTGCCTACCGGCACTGGTGCCCCCATGGCCCTGTGGGGTGGGCGTGGAAATGCGGGGAACTGTGGGTGCACTAACCTCTCCTCAGTCACCTTTACAACTCAAGACCAGGCATGAACCAGAGCCCATCCCACAACACTGACGCCCTTGCTTCTCTGTGCCCTCCCTGCCCCAACAAGCCATGCTCTGAGGCCAGAGCCCTGCAGAGCCACGTCCGTCTCGATGCCCTCCTGCGTCCCCGGTCCTGCAGGGCCCCTCACCTCAGCCCACTGCTTGGCCCGGATCCGTATCTGGCTGTAGTTCCACTCCTCAGAGCACAGGGCGCCTGTGAAGGCCCTGGTGGACGTCCGAGCACGTGCGCAGGGATGCTGCCCTCTGTTAGGGCCTGGATGATGCCCACCTGGGCACAGCCTCTACGCCAACAGGAGGATGGAGCAGGCAGTCAGCGCCGCCAGGCCGCCAGGACCCCGGGGACGGCCGTCCCGTTCCACCCCACCCCTCAGTGCACACGCCACGGAGAGAGGGGCAAAGATGCCAACTCAGAGAGGGAGTGGGACGCTCTCGAGAGGCAGCCAGCACTCAGCCTCCTCCACCCGCTGGCGTCTGGGAGGCTGTGAAGCCGAAACAACAGGCTTTGAACAGACTTGGGCGGGTGGGGAGGCAGGTGGAGGCCCCCAGCGCAGCCCCCAGGGCCGGACGAGCCACCATCGGAAAGCAGCGCGGGCTGAGACCACTCTGGCCACTGTTCGTGTGTGATGTCCGCCACACAACCAGAAATAGCATGTATGAGCGGAAGAGAGCGTGTGACTGTAGCCAGGAGGAGGGACAGACAGTGGAAGTGGACAGAAGCAACACCCAAGTTCTAGAACTGATGATCGACACTGAGCCTCGGGTTCGAGGAGCGTTCTAAATGTTGAGCATAAATTAAAAAAAAAAAATTCCTACATTGTTGAAAACTCAAGATGAAGAAAACTTTAGACCAGACTGAGAACAAAAAGGCACGTTGCCTCCAAAGGGTCAGCACACATAGAGCTGACCTCCCCTGCCCCGCACTGGCTGCCGAGGTCACGGACTTACCATCTGGCCCTTCACAGACAATGTCTGCTGGCCCGTAAGTTAGGAAAGAAAGAACAGTTTAAATCAAAAGAGTAAAATTGAGGAAAAAATAAAGAGCAGAAATTAATGAACCAGAAGACAAACACACTATAGAGAGGATCCTCGAAAGGACGAATTCAGGTAAGACTGGTCCATAAAAGTAAAAAGCGGGGGACAGAGAGAGGCAGACAGCGTCGAGGAGTGGAGGGGGAGGGAGAAAGAGACAGAGACGGAGAGGGAGAGAAAGAGGGAGGAGGAGGGAGACAGAAGGTCTTAATAACCAATATCAGGACTGAGAAAGGGAACATCTGGACAGATGCTCCAATTAAAAAGGTAAGAAGCTAGTGTGAGCTTCATGCCTTAAGTAGGAAAAATCAGATAAAATGGACACATCCCTAGACCAACATAACTTACCAGACCCAACGCTAGAAGTGGAAAACCTGAAGAGTTCAATAACCATCAAAACAACTGAATCTTTAATTTTCAAATCCTCACAAAATTTCATGTCCGGATGGTTTTACTAGTGAACTGTACTAAACATATGAGGAAAAACAACACAAGCCACCTGGAACCTTCCAGAGAACAGGGAAAGCAGTAGCACCTTCCAATTCAGTTTTGAAGGCGGCAAACAAACCTGCCTACATTTCCAGAAAGGACAAGCACGGCCCACCTTGCTCAGACCCAAGGGGTCAGGTGACACAGAAACAGGGCCACATGCCACAGGCAGATGAGCCCATCCCAAGAAGGTGATGTTTGATGTTACTTTAAAATCACTCAGTGTGATTCACCATATTAACAGGATAAAGGAGCAGAATCACACAATCCGACAGACCCAAAAAACAAACACCCGTGATAAAAACTCGGCAAACTAAGAATAGAAGGAAACTTCCTCAGTCTGATAAAGGGCATCTACAAAACCCAAGAGCCTAGATGGCAGAGATGGCACTTAACGCTTAAAGGGAATGCTTTCCCCAACACTCACCACCTCTGCTCAGCTCTGTGCTGGAAGCTCTAACCAGTGCAACAGGCAAGAAAAAGAAACAAAGGCATTTATGTATTTTGGAAAGAAAGAGGAAATACTGTCTTTATTCTCAGGAGAACAAAATGTAAAAAAACTACAAAAAAAGGTACTGGAAGAAGTGAATTTAGCAAGGTTGTAAGTCATGACATCAATTTACAAATATCATCTGTATTTCTACATACTGGCAACAAACAATTTTAAATGAAATTTAAAACATACCATTTAGGGCTTCCCTGGTGGCACAGTGGTTAAGAATCCACCTGCCATTGCAGGGGATACTGGTTCGAGCCCTGGTCCGGGAAGATCCCACATGCCGTGGAGCAACTAAGCCCGTGTGCCACAACTACTGAGCCTGCACTCTAGAGCCCGCGAGCCACAACTACTGAGCCCACGATCCACAACTACTGAGCCCGCGTGCCACAACTACTGAAGCCCGCGTGCCTAGAGCCCGTGCTCTGCAACAAGAGAGGCCACCACAATGAGAAGCCCGCACACCGCAATGAAGAGTGGCCCCCGCTCGCCGCAACTAGAGAAAGCCCGTGCCCAGCAATGAAGACCCAACGCAGCCAAAATAAATAAATTTATTAAAAAAAAAAAACATACCATTTACAATAGCAAAAAAACCCATAAAATACTTAGCTGACTCTAAAATTTACACAGAAATGCAGAGGACCTAGGACAATCCAAACAACTTCAAGAAAAAGAATTTGAAGGAATTACACTGCCTGATGCTTTCCCATAAAGCTAGAGTAACAGAGACAGTGCAGTGGTGTGGCTAGGACAGAACACGTGCCTCCGTGCAGCTCCCACCTGGGCAGGTGTCTGGTGCTTGACTCGGACGCCTCAGCAGCTCAGCAGGGAGGGAAAGTCTTCAACTAGGTAACCACGTAGAATACCCTCACCTCACACCCCGCCACTCACAGCAAACAAGTGTGGGTGGACTGCAGGCCCAGATGTACAAGCTTCGAGAAGATGTAGCCTAGGCAAGAGCCCCCAGAGCACCAGAAATTAAAAAACTGTAAAAAACTGGGAAATCACACTTCATCAGAGTTAAAACGTGCTCATCAAAAAATGCCATTACATGCCATTACAACAAAAACAAAAGTCAAAGACTGAAGACAATATTAGTAATAAATATATCTGGCAAAAGACTTGTATTCAGGGACTTCCCTGGTGGCACAGTGGTTAAGAATCTGCCTGCCAAGGCAGGGGACACGAGTTTGAGTCCTGGTCCGGGAAGATCCAACATGCCGTGGAGCAACTAAGCCCGTGCACCACAACTACTGAGCCCGTGTGCCACAACTACTGAAACCCGCGCGCCTAGAGCCCGTGCTCTGCAACAAGAGAAGCCACCTCAATGAGAAGCCCACGCACCATAACGAAGAGTAGCCCCCACCCACCACAACTAGAGAAAGCCCGCGCGCAGCAACGAAGACCCAACGCGGCCAAAAATAAAATTAATTAATTTAAAAAAAGAAAGTTAAAAAAAAGACTCGTATTCAGAGTATATAAATAACTCCTCTAACTAAATAGTAGAGGGCAAGCCACCTGTGAGAGAGGCGTGTGGAACCTGATGACCAAGAGGCACCTGGAACCTGAGTCCAGGGATGCAGATCAGACTCACAGTGAGGCATGGCCTCCCACCAGGGGTGTGGCCACAACTTACATCCCGGACGATACCAGGGGCGACAGAGATGTGGGCAGCCCGAACTCTCAAAACTGCCAGTGGGGGTGTAAAACTGTTCAACTACCCCGTGGACAGGTAATTCCACTCCTAGGTATTAGCCCAAGAGAAGAGCACATATGTGCACAGGAAAGATCTGTACAAGAATGCTTGTAGCCGTTTTGTGCACAGTAACCAAACCCGGAAAATAACCCAAGTGTCTGTTGATAGGAGGAGGAATACAGGGGCCCACAGGGGCCCATGCAGCGACGCCACGGGTGCGGTCAGCGCACACAGACAGCCTCAGAGACACGGAGTTCACGGGACCAAGCCGACACAGGCCGGCACGGAACGGAACGGAAAACCGAGCGAGCAAGCATTATTATTCTCAGAGAAATTCAAACTGCACTTCTAGAACAAACAGAAAAAAACTGCGGAAAGCACTCAGACGTTAGAAACATCTTAGCAGAAAAAGATCGATTAGAAGATACACCTGAGAAAAATCACCCAGAAAGTAGAACAAAAAGACAAAGATGGAAACTTGGGAGAGAAAAGAAAAGATGGGAGCACGAGAGGATGAGGGGTCATCTGCATTGTGATCCAGAAGAGGGAGCAGGGACCAGCGGGTGTGGGCCTTATCCAACACTCCCAGGGTTGAAGGTGATGAATTTCCGAATTTGAAAGGGCCCACTGGGAGTCTGCCCAGCCTAACGGGGGAAAAGACACCCAGGCACATCCTCAAGTACCTCCAGAAACACAAGAGTGAAGAGAGTCTCCTACAGGATCCAGAAGGAACAGGCTTCGTGAAGAACACGACACTGAACTTCAGAGCAGCAATACCGGAAGCTAAAAAGGTGATGGAACCACACCGTAAAGTTCTCAGGGAAAAGTACTTCCATCTAGAGTTCATAACCAAACTGTCATGCGAGTGTGAGAGCAGAATGAGGGAACTTTCTGCTAAGCGTGGCGTTGAAACTCTTCCCTCCCATGCAGCTTCTCTTAAGGAAACTTAAGAGAACTCTATCAAAATCAGGAATGTATCAAGAAAGAGGAAGACATGGTATCCAGAAGTGGAGCTGGACACAGGAGAGAGACAAAGGCAGTTCCCAGGATCACGGTGAAGGGAAACTCCAAGGCAACATCCCAGCAGCATGACTGGGGAGCAACCCGCAGAGCTGAGAGGAGGCCGCTCCAGAGTGAGTTCAGCAGAGATGGCTTGGTGGTCTGAGCACACTGAGGGGGCTGCGTCTCCAGCAGCACCTGCGGTGAACTACTGAGCAATTATTACTCTGAGGAGGGAGACACTGCCGTACGTACAGTAGGGTAAGGCTTAGCTCCAAAGAGACCCACCTCGCTGTAAGGCAAACAGTGAGCAATGGCCGACTAGGGAGGGGACCACACTGGGATCCTGTGCTGAGGAGGGGGCTAGATGGAGGATACGAGACAGAGACAGACAAACAGACTTGGACCCTGTGCATATATGGGGGCGGTTAGGAACTTAATCATCTAAAACTGAAAAAAATGAAAAAACAGATAAACAACAGGGTCCTACTGCATAGCACAGGGCACTATATTCAATACCCTGTAATAACCCATAATGGAAAAGAATATGAAAAACAACATATGTACACTATATACACAGACAGACACATACACACATGCACATGCACACACACGCACGCAGGCGCACACACGCACGCACACACACACAAAAAACTGAATCACTTTCCCGCGCACCTAAAACCAATACAACATTGTAAATCAACTATGCTTCGATAAAAAAAAAAAGAAACGTAAATGAGGAAACAGCTGAAGAAAAGTTGGAAGGGACTGTCTATGGGATATTGTCTGTGGGATATCTCTGGATTTGTTGGTGGGGCAGAGGACTGCTGTGTGTTATACAAATACCATACGGCCTTACAGAATGGCCACGTGGCTTTTAAACTAAGTATTACTTTAACTAAATTTTCATTAAAAACGCTGCTGCAAGCCAGCTGCTCCAGGGCACCTCACTGTCCCAGCCCTGCAGAAAGCAGCCTGAGTGCTACCCCCATCCTGGCAACTTTGGGTAAATCACCTGATTTTCTAGGCCCACTGGCTCAGCTTTCAGGTAAAAACATGGCACTACACGATGCCCCCAAATCACCCAAAATAAACGAGCAGGGTACTCATTACTTCACCACCCAGGCCAGGCCGCACTCAGGGTGCCAGGGTCAACACGTGCAGGCGTTCCACCCCGGCCCGCTGCCTGCGGACCGCGGGATCCCTCCCCTGCAGCGCAGCCCTCGGAGAGAGGCCACAACGTGCGCTGAAGGCACAGGAGGCCAGTGAGGAGGCTGGGGGTGAGGAGGCGGGGTCTCCAGAAGGGCAGCCCCTCCCGTGCCCACCCCACTTTCCTGGCTGTAAGGGTCTCAGGCGAGAACTTGGAGCCTCCGAGTCTCCAACAGTGGGGAAGTAAGGAGCGTGAATCCGGCCAGACAAGCAGTTTTGAGGCTCACCTGCATCATTTCTCTGACCCTCTCCAGCTACGATTAGCCAAGGAGTGGAGGGGCCGGGTGCGAGCACAGCCCCGACTCTGCAGAGTGCACACACAGTGACTCCAGCTCCCTCTGGAAGGGACATCCTCGGGCCAAGGCAGGTGGCGAGCCAGGCTCCTCTGTCAGGCCCTGGGGACAGGTGGCCAGCGTGGTAAGCAGGGCTGGCACCCAGGCCTGGCACTCAGGGAGCCTCGCTGCAGTGCCGGGGAAGCGGCACAAGCCCGCCAGCCCAGCGACTGGCCTGACGTCCTCCGAGGCCAGGGGTGTGAGTGTATCCACCCCACAGGGCACCCCTGGCCCTGGGACCTGGCCCTCAGAGGGGCGGGGGTCCAGCACAGATGCTGCAGGAGGTGCAGCCTTGCCCCTCCTCGCGCCGACCGGTTCACCCGGGGCCCTTGGCCTGTCACACCCTCACCACACACCTGCCCCTCCGTTTCTGCCCCCACGTGTATTTTTCTCTTTAACCAAGGTCAGGAGAACGGCAGCAAGCGTCAGGACAACTTGGGGTACAAGTGCTTTGGGTTAAAAGTCCTTAAAGGAACCCACCAGCCCAAGAAACTAAAGGCTGCTTCACGACGGTCGCGAGCAGAGCAGATCACTGTTCCATAAAGTGTGCATTAAAATGGAAAGAAACTCTCCCGTAGCCCAGTGGAAAGACTGGCAAAGGGTCAGAATGTAGTTTTCAGAAGAGGAGACAATCGGAACGAGAAATACATTCTCTTCCACTGTCTTTGTGGAGGGAGGGGACACCGGCCCGTGGGAGACACTGCCGGACACGTGCGCCAGCGCAGCCCGGGGAGGATCAGCGCAGGCGGACACGTACCGACTCGTGGCCCGCGGGAAGGGGCGGGACTCACCTGGCTCCCCTCCCCCGGGTACCAAGGCGACAGCGTTGCCGGTCAGCACCCGCGCCAGGCCGGAGAAGTCCGAGCGCCGGTCCGGGGGCCTCTGGCAGACCCGCTCGGACGGCTCCACCTGCGAGAGAGGCCGGCAGACGCGGGGGGCCGGGCCGAGTTCGCACACCCGACGTGGCCTGGCTGTTATACCCCACTCCTGACCCAAAGCTCCTCCTGGACACGGCCGGTGGGTCTGATCCCGACCCAGTCGTCACCTCGGCGCCCGGGCTCACCTGGGAGGGCTCTTGGGGTGGGGCGGGCAGTGCGGGCAGCTGGGCCACATACCGACGGGCCCAGCCGAAGCCCACAGCCCCGAGGTGGAAGCCGCTCGGGGCTTGGACACCTGGGCACTGACGCCGCTGGCAGGGTGCCTCCACCAAGCTGCGGGGCTGGGTGGGCTGTGGCCAGCCGGCGGCCCCTGCGCTCCCACCACGGCCCGCACGCAGCCGCCAGGGCTGGGGACCCCTGAGGAGGAGGCGCCTCAGGATTTGTGTGCTTTTCTGTCCAAAGGAGGAAGCAGTGCCAACCTGAGGCCACCGGGCTCTCCGAGGCCTCAGCTGGAGGTGGGAACCTCAGGCCCCTCGCTCTGGGGTTCTGGCCCCCCGTAGGTGCTCCCCGATCCGGGGGGCGTGCCACCCTGTGGCCCCGGGAATCCGAAGACCAAGCTCAAGCAGGTGTGAGTTCACAGGAGCGGGAGAGCTCGTGGAGAGCCAGCGCCCCCATCAGAGCCAGCGGGCTCAGAGCAGAGTCAGAGGGAAAGGGCCCGAAGCAGGTCGGCGGGGCCCCCAGCCGCCCCGGGCCTCACCAGCTCGGGCAGGCTCCTCCTGGGAAGACGCAGCGAGGGCAGCAGGGGTGGAGGTGGCCGGAGCAGCAGCCCCCACGTTGAGCCGCTGCACAGTGCGGGCCGGCACAGGACCGTCCTCCCGGCGCTTCTGGGCACGCACAGCCGCGCTCTCCAGCACCCGCTCCAGCTAAGGGAGAGCGGAGCCCCGCGTCAGGCAGCCCAGCAGAGGCCACAGGCTCGAGCAGGACAGAGCCAAAGGCCAGCGCGGGGCTGTCCACAGACGTCCCAGGCTGGACGGGACCACGCCTCACGCCCCAGCCCAACACAGGTCTTGGCCTTGGCGGATGGTACCCTGGTTCTGAAGACCGACCCGGCTGTGGCGTGCTTGGCCCTTCCTCTGTGAAGCTGTGACCCAGGGGGTGCGGGGGCATGAGGGAGCTCCGGGGGCCTGCAGGAAAGGAGGCGGCGCACACACTGCAACCTTCTTTTGCAAACACTCCCCCACAAGGGAGCATCACTCCTGGTAAGAACAGGAACCCACATCGGAGATGACGAGTTTGTAGCTGTCCCAGGACCGGGGTGGAAGCGTGAAATGAGAACAGACGACGGGGCAGAGGAAGGAGGTGGGGAACACAAAGCGAAGGGACAACAGACTCCACTTCACACCCAGGAAGTTGGGAACACAGGGGACTGACAGTGCAGAGCAGGGAGCATGGAGCCCCAGACCTTGCCCACATCACGTGCACAACAGGAGTGCAGTCTGGCAGCTCTCTGAACCTGAAGACACACAGCCTCTGCCGCTCGGCAGCAATTCCAGTGGTGCCCTGAAGACACCCCTGCACACGGGCGTAGTGAAGTAACTTCACAGTCCGTTGGCTGAGAAGAGACAGATGGTGGGGCATTCACAAATAGAAACTAAACAGCCATAAGACGAGTGAAACAATATGGATAAAATTCAAAAGTGTAAGTGTTGAGTAAAAAGGAAATTTCAAGATGGTATAAACTCGAGCACTATTTATATAAAAAAACCAGTGCCATATACACACATAGTAAAAACGTGAAACACGGACAGAGGCTCTGACTTTACAAGAGCCTCTGCCTTGTAAAGGGCCACTGGCCACTTCGGGGTACCTGCCTGCCCCTGCTAAAACCACCATCACAGGTAAACACGACAAAATGTTTCCAAAATGTGTAGAGCAAATACCTGGGTGTCTGCTCTTATTATCCATCCCTTCCTGAGTTGTTGAAATACTTCATTCAGAGGACAAGAGAGAAACAAGGGGTCGGAGGAGAGAGTGGGGCCCCCCTCCCGCCAAGACCTGCCCAGCCTGCAGCCCTTTGACCACGCCCACTGCCTGGCCCAACCCAGCAGCCGGCCGGCCCCTCCCCTCAAGCCCTGGCCACGGACCCCACCTGCTGAGGCCCCGCCCACTGCCCCACTCACGCAGGCCGGCTCACCTCGCCCAGGCCCACGATAAGGATGAAGTCGGGCTGCCGGATACACCGCTGGGTCCCGGGTGTGAGCGTGCTGTCCGCCTGGTAGAGCACGATCCGGTGGATGTCCTCCTGCTGCCTCAGCCAGCTGGACAGCCGGTGCTCGTGGATACTGGAAGGCACAGACAGAGGGGTGCAGACGCCGGGGCACATTTCAAGGCCGGGCTGGGACCCACTGAGAGCAGGAAGCCAAGCTCGGCCAGGCTGTTCCGACACAGAGGCCGGCGTACCTGTCCAGAGCAGCAGAGCCAAGGCGCTGTTTTACGTTGCCGCTGGTCAGCAGCAGGGCAGGGCCTGAAAACACAACCACCAAATACAGAAAACTGTGCCGGCAGCTCACACTGGAGGACAAGCGAGGCCCTTCCTTCTCCTGGAAGTTTGCTCTTCTGGAAAGCAATAAGCCTTTCACCACTCATGAGGAAGTGCCTGTGGCCCTGAAGCAGACCCTCTGGGCAGGTGAGGCTGCAGGTGTGGCGGTGGAAGGGCTGCAGCAAGTACAGGGAGGGGCGGCCTCTCTGAACCTCAGTCTCCTCCTCTACACATGAAGGGGTTGAATCTCTGCAGCACTGAGACTGTGTATGCGTGGGGGCAGGGAAGCACAAGCTTGTAAGGTGTGAGATTAGGCAGTCTCCCAAATCCAAGGCAGCCCGGCTGGCTGGGCTCCAGTCAGGTGCGGTTCACCAGTGTCTATCACCAGGGATCAGCGTGCTTCCTGCATCTACAGGGTCTTAGAGCTGCTGTCCACACAGACACAGTTGCTCTCAGCCAGGACGGCCAGCGTCAGAATATGTGAGAGGGCCGCCAGGGGCAGGGACAAAAGCTGAGAGGCCAGCGGCCCTCAGTGTCAGGAAGGCTGCTGGACCGCCCCGAGGATGCAGAAGTCCCGCTGCTGCAGGAGAGGCCGGGCTCTTCCCCATGGCTTCCTTCTTACACCCTCGCTTACACCCTCGCTTCTCTGAGGGCTTGTAATCAGAAGGGGAGAGACAAGAGTCACCGCCTTGTGTTTAACTGGCAGCACCTGCTTTCTTGGAGGCACAAGCATAAGGGTGCATTTCACAGGGTGGTGCCCTGTGATGTGGGTGCTGGACTGACCTGTGCGTCTGTGCAGCTCTGACTCAAATGGCAGAAGCCCGTTGATGCGGGGAAGCAACTCCTCTGGGGGCTCGGGGCAAAGGGCGCTGGTCCCCCTGGGGGCTGCAGTCCTGCTCTGGGGGTCAGGCCAGGTCAGGCCAGGCCGGGAAGAGTTTCAAGCTCGAGTTGGTCACCCCCCGTGGGTCTGACAGAGAGAGGGCGTCCTCTCGGGGCTGATGCCTCACGTGCCTGCGAGGGCCGGCACTCCTGGGCACTGCAGTGGCTCACCCCATCCGCCTCTTGGGCGTCTAGGACGAGGCGGGACAGGCAGGCCGTGTCTGGCTGCAGGAACACAGCGGAGCGCAGCCCTGAGGTCCTCAGTGGACCGCAGGCTGGGCTCTATCTGCCCTCAGGGCACGTCTCCTGCTCTGGGCCCGCCTGCCTGGACTCGGAAGGCTCGGAGGAGGCCCTCGGGAAAGTGTGGAGCCCCCCGGAGGTGGCGCTCTGGGCTCTCGAGGTGCGGGCTGCAGCCCCAGGCAGTCAGGACTGTGGTGACCATTCCGTCCCTGGGAGGGTCTGCTTAGGGCCCAGGCCATGGGCAGGTCCAGGGCAGTGTGTGGACACAGGCTGACGCCTAGGCACTTATGTGTCGGCTCCGTGGGGCACGGCTGCTGCTCCAGGGCGCATCTGGCCTGGATAGTCACTGCCAGCCTGGCTGTCACACAGCCTCTCTCCCAAGCTCTGGAAGCCAGAGGAAGTGGACTGACACCTTCACAGGTGGAAGAAAAGGACCATTGGCCTAGATCCTCACTCTAAAAACACGCTTCACAAATGTGGTCACCTGACTGTCAGCAAAAGAGCACTGCAGGGCAGAGTCCAGTCCTTCTAAGCGAGGGCTCTGGGGCAGCTGAAGATCCTATAGAAAAAGGAATCCTGACTCTACCTCGTATCATCACCAAAATCAATCTCCAATGAACTGTAAACTCGCAAGGTAAAACCCTAAGGTTTTTAGAAGAACCTCTTCATGATTTGGGGGCAGCATGAAATTTCTTCAATAAAACACAAAAAGCAGTAACAATATAGGAAAAAATTGATAAATAAATTGGTCTATATTAGAATTAACAACTTATGTTTGTCAAAAGATATCATTAAAAGAATAAAAAAAACAAGCCACAGAGGGAAAGATATCTGCAACACTTTCATCCAATAAAGCGACTGTATCCAGATTGCCCATCAACAAGGAAAAGATAACAAACCAATAAAAAGGGTGGGCAACTTGACAGGCACTTGCGAAAGAAGGTATCCCAATGGCCAGTAAACAAACAAACTTCTTAGTTGTTGGGAAATGCAAATTCAGGCCCAAACAAGATACCACTGCACACTCACCAAAATGCACCAGGGACTTCCCTGGTGGTCCAGTGGTTAAGACTTCTCCTTGCAATGCAGGGGATGCGGGTTCGATCCCTGGTCAGGGAGATGAGATCCCACATGTCTTGGGGCTAAAAAGCCAAAACCATAAAACAGAAGCAATATTGTAATAAATTCAATAAAGACTTAAAAAAAACCCAAAAAGATTGGATTTACAGATGTAGAGAACAAACATATGGATATCAAGGCGGGGGTGCGGGGGGTGGGATGAATTGGGAGATTGGGATTGATATATATACACTATTGATACTGTGTATAAAATAGATAACTGGGACACCCTTGATGGCGCAGTGGTTAGACTCCGTGGTTAAGACTCCACGCTCCCAATGCAGGGGGCCTGGGTTCAATCCCTGGTCAGGAAACTAGATCCCACATGCACGCCACAACTAAGGAGCCCTCAGGCCACAACTAAGGAGCCCGCCTGCCACAACTAAGATCTGGCGCAACCAAATTAAAATATAATTAATTAAAAAAAAAAATGAGAGAAAATGGAATCTTTCTTTAAAAAAATAAAATAAAATAGATAACTAATGAGAACCTACTGTATAGCAAGGGAACGCCATTCAATGCTCTGTGGTGACCTAAATGGGAAGGAAATCCAAAAAAGAGCGGATATATGTATCTGATTCACTTTGCTGTACAGTGGAAACTAACACAACATTGTAAAGCACTATGCTCCGATAAAAATTTTTTTAAAAATTGGATTTACACAAAGTATCTTTTCTGATCACAATGGTATGAAGCTGGAAAATTCAAAAATATATGGAAATTAAACAACACATGCATAAACAACCAATGGGTCAAAGAAATCACAAGAGAAATGAGAAAATATCTTGAAAGAAATGAAAACAAAAATAACAACATTCCTGGATGTACTGGACACAGTGAAAGCATAGCTAGGAGGGAAGTTTACAGCTACACATGCCTCCTTTGAGGAAGAAGAAAGATCTCTGATCAACAACTGGCTTTGTACCTTAAGTAACCGGAAAAAGAATCTCAAACTAAACCCAGCGCTAGCAGAAATAAGGAAATAATAAAGATCAGAACAGAGATAAATAAAATAGGAAAACAGAAAATCAATGAAACCAATAGTTGGTTCTTTGAAAGAATCAATAAAATTGGCAAACCTTTAGCTAGAGGAATAAAGAAAAAAAGAGAAAAGACTCAACTTACTAAATGCAGAAATAACAGTAGGACATTAGCTATTTTACAGAAATAAAAAGTAATACAAGAGGGTACAGTGAGCAACTGCATACTAACGAACTGGATCATCTGGATGAAATGGACAAATTCCTAGAAACGCACAACCTACCATGACTGAACCATGAAGAAACAGGACATCTGAATAGACCTATAACCAGTAAGAAAACTGAACCAGTTTAAAAAAAAAAAGCCCTGCATGAGGTGGCTTCACTAGGGAATTTTACCAAATACTTAAAGAAAAATTAACACCAATCCTCCTCAAACTCTTCCAAAAATATTGACTCGGAGGGAACACTTCCTAACTCATTCCATGGGGCCAGCACCGCCCCGCCCCACCAGTACCAAAGTCTGTGTGGGACCAAGACGCCAGGAGAAACTACAGACGAGCACCTTTGACAATGCAAAATCCTCAGGAAACAGGAGCTGACCAAACTCAGCAGGGTATTAAGAGGATTACATACCACACCGAGTGGGATTTACTCCTGGAATGCAAGAATGACTCAGCATATGAATATCAATCAGTGTAATAAATCACATTAACAGAACAAAGGGGGGGAAGTATGATCATCTCAACTGATGCAGAAAAAGCACTGACAAAATTCAACATCTTTTTATGATATAAACACTCAACAAATTATGAATAGAAAGAAACCTCCTCAACATAGTGAAGGCCATACATGAAGAACTGACCGCTAACATCCTACTTGAAGGCGAAGGACTGAAAGCTTCCCCCTAAGATCAGGAACGAGGCAGGATGCCTGCTTTCACTTAACACTGCTAGGATGTCAGTGCCACCCAAAGCCACCAACAGTTCAGTGCAATCCCTGTCAAGATCCCCAGTTCCTCGAAGAAATAGAAATTTGCGTGGACACACATGAATGTCACATCAGCGCACCACACGGACGCTAACTTCCTGGTCTGGATGCTGTGCTGCAACCTGGGGCAGGGGGTGGTGTGTGGCTCTCGCTTTACTATTTTTACAACTTCCTGTGAATCTGTAATTATTTCAAAATAAAAGGTTTGTTTGTTTGTTTGTTTTTTAAAAAAGGGAATAAGCTTTTATGAATCAACACATCTCCACTGTGCAACTGCAGATCTTTTGGGTGCGCCCTGGACAGTCTGACCGACGTCACTGAAAAATGTATGATGTTTTCTACATCCAGAATATTTGTTATAAAACAAAGACCAAGATGAATCCAAATTAATGCTTTCTGTGATTTAAATTTTCCCTTGGAGAATAACTTTTACATATTAAATATTTATAGTAGTATCTTCAATTTCATAAATCATTTTCATTTGGCATTTATTTAATGACTTCTACTATCAAGTGTCTGTTTCAGATAGCGGACGTTTTCGCCATATTAAGATACATACTCGTCACAACGTATTGTTCCATAATAGTAATGTAACATTCATTGCACCTATTGTTATATCATTTTTGAAGACACCCCTGAAACCTTTAGGATAGCCCTATCTCAGAAAATTGACTTATTGTCTCTTACTATGGTCGCTCACAATTATAAAAACATATACATAAAGTGTTAACAATATGGAATACTTTATGATTTGGGGAATTTCTAAGGGTTCTCAGGAATTTCAGTTTCTTGTTCTTGAGCCCCCAAACTTAACAGCCGTGGAACTTGGGAACATGACCTAAGCTGCCTGACCCCAGCTGCGGGTGTTCTCCACGTGGCCAGTCAGCTGCCCCAGCCATTGCGGTGTCCCCTCCGAGTAGTGGAGCAGCTGCATGCACCCACCCCAGGCTCACACCCCAAGATGGGCTCCCGCTGGCGGGGGGCGGTTCAGGGTTCTCTGTGCCCCTGGAGGCCCCAGAGTTCAGCTGGGAGGAGCAGTGCGGTGTGACTCACACCAGCTCCTGTGAGATAGGGTTTGCCCATCAAGACTGTCCAGAGGCGCCCGTCTCACTGTGACGGTCCTCTCCCCAGCACTGCACCCCTCTCCACCCCCTGCCCAGGGTTTAGCCTTGCGAGCAACACTAAGTGCTCTTTCAGGAGAACCTGGAAGGATGAGAGGCAGGAGGAGGGGGTCCAACCGGACCTCAGGTGCCTTTGGGCAGGGCTTACCAATGGCGCTAAGGGCATGCTTGAGCTCCAGGGTGAAGGCGGTGAGGGGCACATCCTCTGACACGGGCATGACGGCCACTGTGGAGAGGTTGCTGGCAGGGTTCCCCGAGTCCCACTTGCTCCCTACAGCATGTAGCCCAAACTGGTGACCTGCAGAGCACAGGGGCGTGCGTTGGCCTGAGGAATCGGGCTGCCACTCGCACAGTCTCGGTGTCCCTGGATGTTTCTAGGTGACACCAAGGCACGAGAGGCCTCGGCAGATGGAACAGGCACCGGGGTCGGCCCCGAGTCCCCACAGCCAGAGCCCCGCCTTTCCCGCTGAAATTACCAACCACACTGTGGCGCCCTTGCGTTTCATACACACCAGGACCGGCCCGCTGAAGGGGAGACGGACGCACGGATGCAGAGAAGGCCGTGAGGCCCAGAGAAAACGCAAAGAGTCGAAAGGATTGGCCAGGGGAGGGCCCATCCTCTGACCTGCCCCCCTTCCTGGAGTTCTTCCACTGACTGCTCCAGACAGTAAACAGTCTGAGGTTTAGGAGATCGACATCCTTCTGCCACCTCGTCTGCGTGGGGTTTCCAGACCCCGGGGTGAGGCACAATACAACCCAGGGTTGGTCAGGGCTGGGTCCTGGGGTGCCTGTCCCTGAGGCCACAGGCTTCCCCTTCTCTAGACGTGAGGCCAGGAAGCCCCACAGCAGCAGGGACGGAGGCAGCGTGCACGTGGACCCACGAGCTCATCAGCCTCGGTCCGAGCGTCCCCGGCTGAAGTTCATTCCCAACACAAAGTTACTGCTTGGCAAGTGGCACCTCCTGTTTTCATGGACGTGGCTGAACGGGCAGCCTCACCCCTCCTGCCGCCCACGTCCCAGCCAGACCCCAGTCTTCTGGGGCCCCAACACATTGAGGGCTCTCTTCCTGGCCCCCCTGGCTGGCCGCTGTGCCAGCCCAGCTCCTGCACAGACCTTCCCGACCAGGAAGGGCATGGCCAGGTGCCAGGTGCAGGCACCGGCCATGCAGGAGGGTCCAGCTCCGCCGAAAGGGCATCCATTTCTGAGTCTGCTGGTCTCGTCCCTGGGGAGGAGCGGTGGGTCCTGAGGCATAGAGCGTGGGTTCCTGCAAGGCCTGACCCAGAAGCCAGAGAGGGGGCTGCAGAAGGCAGAGAGAGGGGCCCCTAAGAGCTAACCTGGGGGCAGGGCAAGAAAGTGAGGGCTGTGAGCCAGTTGGCAGCTGCATGCGAGGCAGCAGGGGGCCCCTTTTCACCGGTTTTCTGGCAGCTTCTCTGTGGGGAATCCCCTTCCTCTCGCTCTTTCCCAGTGACCTCTGACGTTAGAACCCTCCGTCTGAGGTAGAACCAGAGGGGGATTCTATTGCCAGCTTCTGACAGTTTTCTTTTAGCCTTTAAGAAAGGCACGTGGAAGGTTCTGGTTCTGACCAAGAAGGAGGTGGAGCCGGCATATCGCACCTAACCGCTGCCACCAGTTACACGGAGGCTCTGGACACAGTTCTCAGGAGACCCAGAGGGGCGTGAAGAGGAGTGCAGACGAGCCAGGACTTGTGGGAAGACCACGCTACTAATGCCACAAGGGTAGCAGTGCCACTGCCCCGTCCCAGCTACAGCCAAGTGGGGTCCATGCCTCCCCCTCCGCACTGGGTGCTGCCTCCAGGGAGGCTTTCCAGGGCCCCAAGTTCCTGCATGGGGCGACAGACACAGTGGGGTGGAGCCCCCAGCTCTCCATTCCCTGCACTAGAGAGGGGAGATGGAGAAGGGAGTCCTCTAGATCTAGTATGAAGTCCTGGCTTCACCCCCAAGCAGCCCATACATGAAACTGGCCAGGATCGCACAGCAGAGGCTCTGAGAACAGAATCCAGTGTGGCATACCATCCAGGCTGCACACTGGCTCTGGGTAGCACACAAGCACAGCAGACCAGAGCAGTACTGCAAAGGCCTTGAGAATTAAATTAACATTCAAACACAGCCCAAGGAAGAGGGCCAGGACATGCTCTGTGAATATAAGCACATTGACAGTCTGCAAAAATAGAAGATTTAAATGGGAACCAGGCTCTCATAACATAATACTCGAAATACAGGATGCAATCCAAAATTACCAGGCATACCAAGAGCCAGGAAAATCTCAACTTGAACAGGAGAAGACAATTAACAGACAAAAACGACAACATGTGGGCTTCCCTGGTGGCGCAGTGGTTAAGAATCCGTGTGCCAACTCAGGGGACATGGGTTCGAGCCCTGGTCCAGGAAGATCCCACGTGCTGCGGAGCAACTAAGCCTGTGCACCACAACTACTGACCCTGTGCTCTAGAGCCTGTGTGCCACAACTACTGAGCCCGCAAGCCACAACTACTGAAGCTGCACACCTAGAGCCCGTGCTCCTCAACAAGAGAAGCCACTGCAATGAGAAGCCCGCACACCACTACGAAGAGTAGCCCCCGCTTGCCTCAACTAGAGAAAGCCCGCGCACAGCAACAAAGACCCAACGCGGCCAAAAATAAATTAAAAAAAAAAAGACAACATGCCACAGAATTTGGAAGTCCTTGACGAGGCAATAAAGCAGTGATCATAACCAGACAGAGACAGCTGTCATGGACTGTCTTGAAGCAAATGCAGAAATATAATAACTGAAATTAAAAATTCTCTGGGTGGCCTTAGGAGCAGAATCAAGAAGACAGAGGAAAGAGCCAGTGAGCTTGAAGACATATCAAAAGAGAGTACTTGGGCTTCCCTGGTGGCGCAGTGGTTGAGAGTCTGCCTGCTGATGCAGGGGACACGGGTTCCTGCCCCAGTCCAGGAAGATCCCACATGCCACGGAGCGGCTGGGCCCATGAGCCATGGCCGCTGAGCCTGCGCTTCCGGAGCCTGTTGCTCTGCAATGGGAGAGGCCACAACACTGAGAGGCCCGTGTACCGCAAAAAAAAAAAAAAAAAAAGAAAGAAAGTACTCAATCTGAACATCAGATGGAGAAAAAAGATTAAAAAACGAACAGTGTCCCAGAGACACTGGGACAATAACAAAAGGTCTAACATTTGCTTCTGTGAATTTCCAGAAGAGGAGAAAGAATACAGGGCTGAGAGACTATCTGAAGAAATAAAGGATGAAACCTTTCCAAATTTAGTTAAAAAATATATATATACCTACAGATTCAAGATGAGCGAACCCCAAACAAGATAAACCCAAAGAAATTCATGTCAAGCACTCCAAAATCAAATTTCCAAACAGTAAAGGCAAAGGAAAATCCCGAATACAGCCAGACAGAAATGATGCACTACCTACTTGGGAACAATTTGAATGTCTGGATTTCTCATTAGAAGCAACGAAGACCAGAAGGAAGTGGTACAAAATGTTTAAAGTGCTGAAATAAAAGGACTGTCAAGCCAGAATTGCACATCCAGCAAAAAGTATCCTTCAGGAAGAAGGTGAAGTAAAGACAGTCTTAGATGAAGGAAAATTAAGAGAATCTGTAGCCAGCAGACCTGCGCTAAAAGGACTATTATTAAAGGAACGTCTTCAGACAGAAGGGAAATGATACCAGGAGGAAGCTTGGAACACCAGGATGAGGGAATAGTTTTAAACGTGTTTGACGGCTGAAAGCAAAAGTTCTAACACTGTGAGGGGGGTTTCAACCTAAGTAGAGGCTCTGGGCGGGGCTCTGAGCAGGGTGGGTGGGGCTCCCAGGTTGCAGGCCCAGGCACCCAGCCGTCGCAGTTCCCTGCTGGAGGCTGCCCAGGATCTTCTCGCCCAAGAGGTGAATCAGCGAGTCACAACCTGGGGGCAGAGAAAGAACAGAGACCTCAACCACACACTTTAAACCATGACGCCAAGCAAGCACCTTAGACCAGGGGTCCCCAGCCCCCGGACCAGTAGCGGTCCGCAGCCTGTTAGGAGCCAGGCCACACAGCAGCAGGTGAGCGGCGGGCTAGCGCAAGTGAGGCTTCATCTGCCGCTCCCCGTGCTCGCATTACCGCCTGAACCATCCCCCCAAAACTCCCCAGTCCATGGAAAAATTGCCTTCCACGAAACCAGTCCCTGGTACCAGAAAGGTTGGGGGCCGCTGCCTCAGACCCACGGTGTCAAGACTGCCGCAGCTGTAAACCACTCTAGGCAGTGGAAGGTGATGCGGCTGCTGTCTGGTTGCAGGCAGGTGCGGGGCACGTGGCCTGGGACCTTGCCCAGGACGGCATCTCCTCTCATCCCCAGGCGGGAAACACGGGGCAGCACCGGGAAGCCACGACTGCCCGCAGGCAGGCCACGAGGGCCTTCCCCAGAGCCGAGGGTCATCACGTGATGCTGAGTGCCTGGCCCGCTGGACATGGGCTGCTTTACATGATATCCAGGAAGAATTACCTTTTAAATATAATAATGCTATTTTGGTTATATTCTAAATTTTTAGAGTTGCAGACTCAAGTATCTAAGGTTGGAATGTCAAAATACCTGTAATTTACTTTTAAGGGCTTTTGCACAAGTAAAGTGAGTTAAAAGTTTTTTAATTTGCTAAAGTTTGCAAGATGGGAGAGGATGTACTGTACAGGAAGCCTGCTTCTGTGGCTCTTGCATGCAGTACGGATCACTTTCGAAAAGAGAAGCCGCTGTCAGCTTCAGTAACCCTAAGTATCTCGGAGAGCAAGGTGAAAGCAGTGATGAGGTGATTCCGACACCAGGCGCTGCCTCTGCAAGCCTCAGCTGCCGGCTACTTCCTGGCCATCTACAGCCGACAGCTCTGGGCTGACTACGCAAAGAGCAGGCCCTGAGACCTCATGCTACAGCAACCGGTGTCCCCAGCCCCTGCCAGCCAGCCCTCCACCTGCAAGCTAACTTGGAGACCCTCTCTTACCCCCAGGACTCTGGTGTCAAAGACCCATGGAAGATGCAAGTGAAACTGTCCAAATTTTAGGACGTGAGACAAGACGTAGTTTGAGCAGAGTGGTCCAAAACAGAAGCTGAAAAGAAGTCTGGTTTATATACAACTGATCTAGCATCAAACTATTAACTGGAGCTCATTTTGTTTGTTTGTTTGTTTTTTGCGGTACGCGGGCCTCTCACCGCTGTGGCCTCTCCCGTTGCGGAGCATAGGCTCCGGACGCGCAGGCTCAGCGGCCATGGCTCACGGGCCCAGCCGCTCCGCGGCACGTGGGATCTTCCCAGACTGGGGCACGAACCCGTGTCCCCTGCATCGGCAGGTGGACTCTCAACCACTGCGCCACCAGGGAAGCCCAACTGGAGCTAATTTTACAAACCACATTTTATTATGGAAAATTTCAAAGATACACGAAAGTAGAGAGAAGAGTACAGTGGACCCTCCCTTCCCATCACCCAGCTCCACCCATCTTATTTCACACACATACCCCCAAAATTTTGAAGACAATCCCAAACATAGCATTTTATCCATTAATAGTTGAACTCGTATCTCTAAAATATCACAACAATGATACAATTATCACAATTACAAATTAACAATAGCTCTAAATCAAAGCTTTTGAAAGTGATCATTTCTACATCAAATGAAAAAGGTTCACAACAGGCCAATGAACACATGAAAAGGTGCTCAACATCTTTAGTCATTAGGGAAATGCAAACCCTAGCCACCAGTATAAATAATAGCATTTTGACATATTTTTCCACTGGATTAAAAGAAAAAGAAAACCATGTGATGCTGGTGATTTAGTATGGGAACTTCACCTCAGTGTGACCCAGGGAACCGCTGTGAGCTTCTTCAAACCTGGCACTGGTCTCACTGTCCAGGAGCCCTTCCATCTGGCCCAAAGGCTCCGGCCCTCTTGGTGAAGGCCTGCCAGGTGGATGACATGGAGGCTCCGCCCCGAGGAGACTGGACGAAAGCCACGCCTTTTCTAATTGTCCCACCAGGTCACCCACAGACAAAGCGACACACGTGAGACCTGTACCCTGACGACACTGTGGTCTAGCAGCCCAAAGACCATGCAGGAGCTGTGCGAGGTCAGGGCCCACCCAGGGCCCGGCAGGCGGGAACTTCACGTGGCCAGGGTGGGGGCGACCTTGTGAAGTCCAGGGTTCACTGTGTCTGCGGTGGGAGGCTGCGTCACCCACCAGCAGGCAAATAAACCCACAAGCCCTCAGGAGTCCGGGTCTATAGGTGGCCCTGGCAACTGTGACTCAAGCATATAAGTCAACAAAGGCAGGAAACAAAGAGGTAGCTTCCAGCTGAATTATTTTCTTAGAGTTAAAACTATTTACAGCCTGAAACCCAAAAATAAGGCAAGGGTGCTAATGATCATCATAGATCAATACCCAACCACTGAGGGGTTCCAAGACAGTGGGAGAGACACGGCAAGATGCTTGTGATGTGGGCTTCCCTGGTGGCGCAGTGGTTGAGAGTCCGCCTGCCAACGCAGGGGACACGGGTTCGAGCCCTGGTCCGGGAAGATCCCACATGCCACGGAGCAACGAAGCCCGTGCGCCACAACTACTGAGCCTCCGCTCTAGAGTCCGCGAGCCACAACTACTGAACCCTGCGCACCTAGAGCCTGTGCTCTGCAACAAGAGAAGCCACAGCAGTGAGAAGCCCACGCACCGCAACAAAGAGTAGCCCCTGCTCGCTGCAACTAGAGAAAGCCCACGCACAGCAACAAAGATCCAACACAGCCAAAAATAAATAAATAAATTAATTTTTAAAAAGTGCTTGCAATGTGTCTGGGGAAATGCCGAGGTGAGCCACCACGCGCAGCCCCTGTACAGCAGAAGCTGACACACCTGCGTCAAGGGCAGCTGTGGTCCAATGTGCCTTTTCCTCCAAAGAACAAAAAATTTAAATTTTGCACTCCGAAGGCCCATAGTTTGGCTCACCACGTTTCTCTCCGCGGTGTGCTGGCCTACACAGGTGGCCTCGCCGCTCAGGGGAGAAGACATACAAGGAAATTTGCATAAGACGGTGGTGCAAAATGGAGCTGGAGGAGGCTTATCTGTGCACAGAGACACTCCTGAGAATAATCCAGATACTCCACTTGATTTCACACTGGAAGAGTACAAGAGGATAGAGGCAACTGTAAAAAAACTACCCATAAGGGCACAAAGCAGCAGCTGTACTTCCAGTCCTGGATTCAGCCCAAAGGCAGAATGGATGGCTGCCCATCTCTGCTATGAACAAGGCTGCAGAAAGTTACAAGTACCGCCAATGAGAATATATGAAGAAGCAGCTTTTTATACAATGTATAATCAAAAACCGGTTGGAAAGAATCATATTCAAGTTTGCACTACTATCCTTGCATGCTTTGAAACTCTGACAGCATACTGGAGGCCACTCAGAAAAAGCTTGGAATAAAGGTCAGGGAGACTACACTTGACAAACTTTTCACTCTTATAGAAATGGAATATTTAGGGGCCTGTGTAAATGCACCAATGGTTCAAAGAAATGACAACTACTATGAGGATCTGACACCTAAGGATACTGAAGAAATTATTGATGAACTCAAGGCTGGCAAAATCCCAAAACCTGGGCTAAGGAGTGGACGCTTCTCATGGGAGCCACGGCCAGAGGTCTTACCTCTTTGACTGAACCACCTAAAGAACCTGGCTTTGGTGGGCAAGCAGGCCTTTAATTTATATTCAACTGTAAAAATGCCACTGGAGAAATAAAATATGAATCTCCTACCTACATAAAATAAAATATAATAAAATAAAAATTGGTACTAACTTTTCAATGGAAAACTTAACAAATGTTAAAGAGGGCAGACCTCTAAGTGAAAACACAACAGACCCCAGCCCTGCCCCACCCAAGGGCTCTCACCGAATCCTGGATGCAGACCTCCAGCCGCCCGTCCTGCACTACATAGATGCTGGTATCTGGCTCCCCTGGCCGGAAGACGTACTCCCCTTCCAGAAGCTACACAAACACCATGTGTTTGCAAAGTTCCAGGATAAGTGGCTTCTCAAAGTGACCCAGGACCCTATAAGAAACAGTGCACATGGGACACCTACAGGAAGGAGGGGAGAAGGGACACAGGCCACAGTCCCTGCCGGCCAGACCACAGAGCGAGCTTTCAAGAGCTGCAGAGCCCATAGCACAAGCACCAGCAGGACAGAAGCTTAAGCTTCAGGAATTTCCATCAGCTACTGTTCCATGAGCTCAGAGAACTCTCAGGCCATGAGCATGAATTTGAACCAGATGCATAAACGAGGGCAGGTAGTGAAGCGCTGGAAAGAGGAGTCGGGGCTTCCAGGGAGAAATGGGGAACCAGACTTGCAATTTTCCATCCAGCCACACGCTTCCCACACTCGCTCCATGTCGCCCTGAAGGTGAACACTCTGATAAGCAGACAGACACATGAAAGAACCGGCGAGGAGGCTCCACTCACCACTGGGAGGGCACCGATGGCAAGAAGACTTCCCAACTGATGAAAGCAGGGTTCACATGTTGGGGTCTGGGGCGGGCATTCTGGCTTACACATGAGTTAACTCCCACTTCATGCTCACTAGATAGAATAGCCTGTTGTGGCTGATCAAACACATATTGTACGTCTGCTTAATTATTAAAGGACACATTGGCCAGAAGTAAAGAACATCCGGGGCTTCCCTGGTGGCACAGTGGTTGAGAGTCCGCCTGCCGATGCAGGGGACACGGACTCGGGTTCGAGCCCTGGTCCGGGAAGATCCCACATGCCTCGGAGCAACTAAGCCTGTGTGCCACAACTACTGAGCCTGCGCTCTAGAGCCAGCGAGCCACAACTACTGAGCCTGTGTGCCACAACTACTGAAGCCCGTGCGCCTAGAGCCTGTGCTCTGCAACAAGAGAAGCCACCGCAATGAGAAGCCCGCGCACTGCAATGAAGAGCAGCCCCCGCTCACTGCAACTAGAGAAAGCCCGCACGCAGCAACAAAGACCCAACGCAGCCAAAAACAAATAAATTAAATAGATAAATATTAAACAACAACAAGAACAACAAAACGTCCACGTAAAAAATAAAGATTAAATGCCTCCCTTTCTAGGGTGCCAATGCTCGTTCTCCTTCAACGATAAGACTCCCTTCCCAGGTGCCGAGGCCATACTGACTCACCATGTACCTGCTGATCTGTTTTTTTTGAAACCTTGAAGGAATGTATCCCTGACTAGCTTAATGTTCTTTGTTCTGACAAGACATAAAACTGCCAAAAACTATGCTTCTCTGGGGAAGTTCCTCAGAGTTATCTGAGAGGTTGTCTTCCAGGCTCTAGTCCTCAGTTTGGCTCAAATAAAACTCTTCTTATTCCTATTATAGGTTGTTTATTCATTATTTTTGTCGCCACAACCAACGGTGGCCACAGGGAAAGGACACCTCGGAGGCCAGGTGACAGCCAGTCCCCGGGGCACAGCCGCAGGCACATGGCGGGCCTCCCGTGTCCACTTCTCTCTTACTGAACATTTTTCAGCATGTACAAAACTCCTGACGGCAGGTGAGAATTCTTCACATCGAACTCCGTGAGGTCGGCCTCCAGCAGGGAGGGCGGGGGCTCCTTTGGCTGCAGGGTGGGGTATTCCTTCTTGAAACGCAGGATGCTACAAAGCAGAGAGACATGCACCTGGAGCAGAAGCCCAAAGGGGTTCAGACGCAGACGGTGTTTGCGCTGTGAACTCCATGGCAGGGAAGCCACGGGCGGCGCAACGTCCGCGGCCTCCCCAGCGCCCACTGGGGAGGGCAGCTGAGACGTGACTAGTCTGAAGGGCACCCCCAGTACCTCTTGGCCAAAGATAGCACCTTGGTCCTCTTCATCACCCACTGCGGGGGGGCAGCTGTGTTCCCCACAAGCGCGTGGGGGAGTGTGGTCACCTGCAGAGTGAAAGGGGGAGGCCACGTCTGGACCCTGCAGCCGGTGGATCCAGCTCTCAGCCTCAGGGTCGGTCCCAGCCCTCAGGACCTGGCCTGCCCACAGCCCGACACCAGCATCCCGGCCCGGCCCCACCCTGCTCACCTGCCCAGGACACAGGGAACCATCCTTGGCGCTGATGATAGCGATACCGCGTGGCCATGTCCCCAGACAGCCCATGCTCTGAGAGCTCTGAGTCCTCAGCCCTGCGTCCTCTCTGCCTAGAAGGCTGACGCTCTCCACCCCACACCTGTCACGCTGGCACACACAACAACCTGAGTGCCTGCACAGTCCTCCCAGTCTGGAAGGCTCTTCACCCTCCCCCACAGTCGAGGCCCACCGGACTGCCCCAAACAGCGGCGCCGGGGAGCGCGGAGGGCCCGGCTCCTAGCCGGGCACCGGCCAGCCTCCTCGGGCAGCCACTGCCCCCTGCTGTCCCCTAGCTCCCGAGCTGCATCTGCCCCACGGTGCCAGCTGGGGTTGTCGGTGGGCGGTCACCACAACCCCTCCTTCCCTCCCAGGCGTCCTGGCCTCACTGGACCACGTTCCTGTCCTTAGCCCAGGTCCAGCTTGCCACTGCCCAGTCCTCGGCAGGGTCACCAGTGGACAGCCCCCCACCCAACCACACACGCCTGAGTGCCTTTGAGACCTGCCGGGAGTCACTCCACGTGGCCCTGCACGAGCCTGCGGGGGGCCCGCCCACTGTCCCTGTGCGCCTGCCCGCCCGCCCGCCCGCCCGCCAGACAGAGCAGCCCCAACCGACCGGCCTCCCACAGCGCCTGACACTGAGGAGGAAGAGCCACGTGAGGACACCCACGTGACTCCCCATCGACAGCTCAAGCTTACCCACGAAGAACACGAATCGATTGTGTAACTCGAGGAAAGTAACAAAGAGAAGATATTTTTAAATACCAGCAAACGCTTCAAGCGTGCATTTGAAGCACAGGCAGCCTCAGGCAGTCTGCTGAGACCTCCTGCCCTCAGGGGGAGAAGGGCGCAGGGGCCGGGCTGCTGGACGGGCTGGACGCGGCTGCTCCTCCCAAGGTGGGTCTTGACACTGGCAAGCGAGGCCTTGCCGTTTCCCCCTCGCAGAGCCTGGCCCCAAATCCTGGTTGGACCAGCAATCTCAGCACCGGAGCCAGGAACCTCCGCCCGCCACACGTCAGGGATGCTCCAGGCGGGGGGCTTCTGTCCTCCCTTCCAGTTCACGTCCACCTCACAGGGTGACGGGGCCTCCTTCCCAAATGCTTCCGCCCAGCCATGCCCTCCCCAGACCCTCCCCGAGCCCCAGAGCCGCTGCACAGCCCCCAGGCACAGGCCTGCGGTGCCGACACCTCTGAGGGGGAGGAGGCCTGGGCCTGCAGCGCGAGCTACCTTCCTCATGATGTTCCTGCCGTATAGCATCGCTTTGTCTCTCTTCTGGAACCTGTACTGAGGAGTGGGCTGCCCTTGTCCTGCAAGGGGAGCCAAGGGACTGCCTGAGCACGGCTGGGACCCGCGAGGCGGCCACGTGTACACACTGAGCTGTCCTGCCCCTGCCTGGCCCCGCCCCGCCCCCAGTGACACAGCACCTCGTCCCAGGGCTGCGACAGACCCTTGCAGAGGAAGCGGGACTTCACTCTTCTTGGAAATGTGATCCAAGGAAGTTCAGAACAGACTCGAATTGCATGGATCCGACGAGCTCAGCCTCGTGGACAGGCCAGCAGTTTCCAACAAAAGCCACCACCCGAGCCTCCCCCACCCTTTCAAGCCCTCCTCCCCATCCCCCTAGGGCTAAAGTCTGAAGCAAGATACTCACGGAATCAGTTAACCCTTCTATACACAAAAAATGGTCATCGGGCTTCCCTGGTGGCACAGTGGTTGAGAGTCCGCCTGCCGATGCAGGGGACACGGGTTCGTGCCCCGGTCCGGGAAGATCCCACATGCCGCGGAGCGGCTGGGCCCGTGAGTCATGGCCGCTGAGCCTGCGCGTCGGGAGCCTGTGCTCCGCAACGGGAGAGGCCACAACAGTGAGAGGCCCGCGTACCGCAAGGAAAAAAAAAAAAGATGGTCATGCCAATGAGGTCCAGGGCCAGGGCCAGGAGGATTTCAGTTGCAACACCCACCAGCTAGCTGGGTGAGGTCACAGATAGAGCACCCGTCAGCAAGGTGCCATGAGGCCCCTCCCAAGCCCAGACACAGGCTGGACACAAAGGACCCAGGGCAGCCAAGGGTGCAATAGGCCACTGATTCTGGGGCCCGCCCATTAGCCGGGGGCAGTGAGGTGGTCACCTGGTGGACTGGGAATGCTGCTCCGTCAGCTGCAGACCCCAGGACCGAAGGGTGGCCAGGTAGAAGCACGCCTAGGGGGGAAGGCTGCAGTCGGGAAGGGCCAGGATGGGCACGGCCCTGGCTCCCCAGGGAGTGACAACAGAGCTGTGGGTCAGGGACAAGTCAGCAGCCCTGGAGACCTCCAGAAAGAAGCGACCTTCCAGGACGCTGAGGTCCCCTGAGCCCACTTGCTCTGGAGCAGCGCCACCCACAGCATGGCTGGGCAGGGCCAGCAGCTGTGCTGTGTTGACAACAAATGCTCCAGGCATCATTAACGCATCTGAATCCTAAATCCTCAGCTTTCCTGCTCCTCAGGATGCAAATCCAGAGGAGCAAGCCCGGCTGGCCACAGTGGGTACAAAGGCCACCTCTCAGTGCCCTCTCGTCACCAACAGAACCACGTGCTGCTGGCCTCGGGGCAGACAGAAGCCCACACAGCAGCAGTGCTGGGAAACCCTAAGGAGCCAACTGTATTTTGAGAGCATTAAATACCAGCTCACAGCAGAGAAGGGCTCCCAGGGAGGGAGTTAACAAGGGGCTTCAGAAGCCCAGACCCCAGGGAGAGAGAAAGGAAGGTAAGAGAGAACAGTGAGGGACTTCCCTGGTGGTGCAGTGGTTAAGAATCTGCCTGCCAGTGCAGGGGACACGGGTTTGAGCCCTGGTCCAGGAAGATCCTACATGCTGCAGAGCGACTAAGCCAGTGCACCACAGCTACTGAGCCTGCGCTCTAGAGCCCGTGAGCCACAACTACTAAGCCCGTGTGCCACAACTACTGAAGCCTGCGAGTCACAACTACTTAGCCCACATGCCACAACTACTGAAGCCCGCACGCCTAGAGCCCGTGCTCTGCAACAAGAGAAACCACCACAATGAGAATCCCACGCACCGCGACGAAGAGTAGCCCCTGTTCGCCACAACTAGAGAAAGCCCGGGCACAGCAATGAAGACCCAACGCAGCCAAAAATAAATAAATAAATTTTAAAAAAGAGAGAACAGTGAGTGTGGAATGGTGAGTGGGCAGACGGCTGGGGCCGCCCATACACAGGATGCTGGCAGATTCCCCCCAAAGCTGAAGAAACCAGCCAAACAAGTAGCTACGCTCCATTCCTCCCGGTACCCACATACCTCCTTCCAAGCAGCCAGGAACAGGATGGGTTTGGGGGAGTGGTGGGGGGACTTGTTAATCCTTTCAAGTTTCTACACAAGTGCCAAGGACTAAAGCAGCTTGCCTGATCCTTCAGAGCCAGGATCACACACAGCATCGATGCCAGAAAACCCAAGGAAATCAACGCGCTCAGAAAAGCATTTCAAAAGCAGAATGTCGCATCGAGACAGAATAAGGAAGTGATTCAGAAAGCTCAACCCTTTGAACTCAGCTCAGGAGGCAGATGGAAGCAGTGGGAGCTTCTGCTTCACAGTGAGGCGTCCAGGCCCCCCTGGCCCAGACTGCGTGCTTGGCTAAAGACGACATCCACCAGGCAGCAGATGAGCACCCTCCTCCTAAGTGTGTCTCTCCGAGCTCAGCCACCCCCTGGGGGGCAGCCAGGGCTGTCCACAGGAAGGGTCACGGGGATGCCCCAGGCCTATTTATACAGTCTCTTGTGGTTAGGCATCTCAGACTTTCCAGCTTTTCACGGTTGTTTTAATGCATCTACATTTCTGGTTTAGAGATAAAGGCCCTTGTAATGTGGATATATATGTTCCACGGGTAAAAGGCCCTAAGACAAAGCAAGCAGACTTCCTAAGGGGAAGCAGGAACTCACAAGAGTGACCTTGGGGAAGAGGAGGGAGGGCCTCAGCCCTGACAAGGGGAAAACAGGCCCCACACACCACCCCCACATGCAGCAGGCTTCAAGGAGTTGCTGCGGGACAGATGTTAAAAGGACCCTTTCTCCTTGTCCAGAAGCGGCCATAACTGGGAATTTTAAGGCTGATTCCTCACTGGAATCCTCAGGTTCTGCACCTCTGGGCCGGCGTCCCCCTCTTGCTCCATGGCTAAAAGTGAAACAAAAGAAGAGAGACTGGTTCCAAGGAGGGCACACGTTCCACCACCTCATGCTCATGTGCAAAGCAGTGCCTCCCAGCCCTTCCCCAGGTTCCTGCCCACGTTAAATTATGTTTCTATTGACAGGAAAACCCTGATGAAAAACTGTGTTCTCCATGGAGAGAAGCTCTTTTCACAAGCAATCGGAGCCCCTTCCCTCTTGTAAATAGCCCTCACGTGGCTGCCCAGGAACCTAGAACTGCAACCAAGTCCCGGGCTCCTCCCCCAGCCAGTCAAGGGCCAGTGTGGGCAGCCGGGCAAAGGCCTAGTGCAGCAGGGATTTCCAGCACCTGGGGAGGGGTGCGTGGCCACTACAGGCTGTGAGCCAGACCCTCCCTAGTGGCCTGTGCACAGGATTTCCCCCGCAGTGCGGCTGAGCCCTGGAGGTGGGTGTCTTGGTCTGGGGTGTGGTGAACTTGAGGACCAGCTCTGCTCACCTGGCCTCTGTGCCGCAGGGAGGAGCCCCGTCTAGGGCCTTCACCCTGTGGCTCCCAGGTCCCTTGGAAGGGCAACAGTAAGAGAGGGTTGTCTTCCGAAATCCCACCGGGAGAAGTCAGGGAGCAGAAGGTAGGTGCAGGGTCACCTGCATCTGCTCACTGGTCAAAGGTCCCTGCCGGCCCCGTGGGAAACCCTTTCTTCTCAGATGTCTCCTCAAGGACCAGCAGCGCCTTGACCCCAGCTCTGCGGCCCAGCCCTGACCAGGGCGGTCTCCCCACGCCTCCCAGGCTTACAGGCGACAGAGCTCAAGCCCCCAGCACCTGCTACACAACCAAACCGCCTTCAGCTGCTGCACGTGCTCCACAGCGCAGGGGACGGGAGGGAAGGAGACAGAGCGCAGGAGAACTGGGGGGCCGGGGGCGGCGCGGTTGGGGTCATCGAGGTTAGGAAGATGGTGGTTAGGGGGGCGTGGAAGTTAGGGCGCAGGGCTGGAGAGCAGTGATTATGGGGCCGTCGGGTTGAGGGCAGTCAGGTTGGGGGGCGTTCAGCTGCAGGGGCATCGGGGTTGGGGGCAGTCGGGGTTGAGGGCAGTCGGGTTGGGGGGCGTCGAGATGAGGGGCGTTGGGTTGAGGTCAGTCGTGGCTGGGGGCAGTAGGGTTGGGAGGCGTCCGGTTGGGGGCAGTTGGGTTGAGGTGCGTCGCCGGCGACAGCCCTGTGGGGCAGTGTACGTCCCGACGATGCATGGGGGAGGGGATGGCTACCTCTGCTCACAGAACCGGACCCCCAGGCCTGCCACTTCGGGGCGCTCGGCGGCGACTCACCAGGATCGCGCGCTCCCGACGCCCGCCCTCCCGTCACTCCACCCTGACGCCCCGCCCCCGACACCCGGTACTCCCGTCGCTCCTCCCGAAGCCCCGCCCCTAACGTCCGCACTCACGGCGTCCGGCCCTGCGCCTCGAAGCTCCGCCCCCCACGGCCGCGCTCCTGACGGCCCGCCCGGACGCGGGATCTCCCCGAGCATTGGCCAGGCCCCCACAGGTCCCGCCCCCCCGCAGGGCCAAGGCTGCACATTGGACGCGTCGCAGCCATTCGGAGCTGCTCTTGCTCTGGCGCGGGGGGCCAGGGGGTGTCGGAAGCTGCAGTGGTCGCCGGAAGCGGAGCGCTGGGGTGCCGGGGTTCGCGTGGCTGTGCGCGGGAGTCGGAGAGCGTTCGCGTCGTTCGGGCCCCGGCATGGGCCTCCTGAGCGGGGCGGCTCGCGCCCTGGTGCGGGGCGCCGACCGAATGAGCAAATGGACCAGCAAGCGGGGCCCGCGCACCTTCTACAAGAGCCGCGGCGCCAAGGGCATCGGCTTCCGGGGCCGCGACGGCAAGCTCGTGCAGGTCAAGGAAATGGTCCCGGAGCTGGTGGTCCCCGATCTGGCCGGCTTCAAGCTCAAGCCGTACGTGAACTACCGCGCCCCGGAGGGCACAGACGTTCCCCTGACGGCCAAGCAGCTCTTTCTGGAGACAGCGGCACCTGCTATCGAGAAGGACTTCAAGGCCGGGACTTTCGACCCTGAGCGCCTGGACAAGTACGGCTTTGAGCCCACGCAGGAAGGCAAGCTCTTCCAGCTGTACCCCAAGAACTTCCCGCGCTAGGAGCAGTCGTCGTCGGCGGCGGTCGGGTGTGCCTGCGACTGAGGACTTCGACCTATCCTCCTCGCTGAGCCTAGCTCCCGGGTGGCGGGTGGGGAGGCGTTGCCCTCGTTTCCCTTCTATTAAAGACCTTGGCTACCCTACAGTGTTGTTCGGAGCAGCTGGTCATTTTGAAAAGGAAAGTGTGCCACGTAACAGGCTAGGGCGTAGTGACCGAGGCGACGTTCTGAGGTTCCAGCCAAACCAGAACCCCAACCAACAGGTTCTGGGAAGTAGGCAAGAACACGTGGCTTAGCTTGCAGGAGAAAGAGAATTCACAAGGCAGATCCAGCCACATGATAGCACTGGTTAATTCATCCCCCAAAATTCACCCCAAGGAACCACCAATGAGAATACTTACGGGTTCCAAAGCAGCTTATTTTGGGGAGTCAGGTGAGACAGCCCCCCCTTGGGGTAAACCTAAAGATAAGACCACACAGGAAGTTGATGCCAAACTCGTATTTCCCTAGTAATCTATAGTCTCCTTCCTCCTTGTGTTTTCCTGTTTCAGTGCATAATCCCTCAGATTCTAATTCTGTTTCATATTTAACTGACCCTTAAGTGAAATATCCTAAAATAAACTCTGGAGGAGGGTTCAACATTAACACATTCTGACCTGTACTGGCACACAGTGTTGTACCATCAGAAAATAAGAAAGCAAAGGATAGAGGTTTGTGTTTTCTAACTCGGAACACCTATCTGTTGTATTTATTAGTGGATGCTGAGGAGCTGACAAATTCCACAGTGGCCTATACTTCAACATCTGTTCCTTCCAGAGAGACAAGGAGGAACTGATCTGTGGGAGTCAGATCAGTCACAAACCCAGTTATGTTTCTGGAGTTAAACCGTGTCCAGGTTTGGAAGCTACTTGGTTTACTGAAGCCGCAGTGAGGAAGTATGACTAATTCAGCATGTGACAACGTATTTCAAGTTTATGACATGCTAAAGCAACTCAGAACGTTTATACACTTCCTTTTGCTTCTCTGCACAGGAGGCTATACAAGCACTTCTGGTGCCATGACATGAGTTTTTTTAATGTTCATATAAAACTACTTCTGGTGTTTTAAAGTAGCTTAAGAAAAAAAAGCCACTCCTTTTAGTTAATACAAACAGTTGCTTAAATAAGTATGAAGAACTGAAAGTCAGAAACACAGGAAACTGACAAGACAGAGCTGGGAACCATGCCCCACCCACACCCTGCCCCCTGCTGCCACAGAATCACCATTTTGAAGGGCCCCAGCAGATAAGGCTTATTTAAGAGGCCAGCAGCTTTTCTGACTGCCTACCTGGAGATTCCATGAGATGCACTGAGCCCTATACAGAAAACCTGCATGCAGCCAGAATCTCAGTGAGATGGTCTGAGGACACTTCATTCTCAGAAAAGATAAAGACATACTCTTGGTTTTATTGGTGGAAATGGTCTTTATGATGTCAAACCAAGTAACTTCCCTAGCTCAGCTGTTCTCCCACTTCCAGAGGTGAAGAACATGATCATAAAAGGAGCAAGTGGCTAGAAGGCTGGCGTCAGAGGTGGCTGCCTCCAGGTACTGGTCACAGTCACAGATCTCGATCCCCGAGGCATGCAGCCGGCCGCCGCTCTTCTCCTCTGCAAAGGGCTGGAGAGGACTCTTCAGCTTGCCTCCACTCTGGTGTTTGGTACCACCCTCTCCATCAGCATCAGCTAGACGCTCAAAACAGGGTGCTGGCGACTGGGCCGCAACTTTGAGGGTATAGACTGGGTCTGCTGTTTTGGCTCCTGGGTCGCTGCCAGGAGAGGACCCCAAGCAGAATGACGGATGGGTCTGCGGCAAGCGGCGGAAGTAGAGCCAGGACCAGTCGACTCCATACACCAGCGAGTTGGGCAAGGTGTAGGACAGAGTGACTGGGAACACTTCCTGATTCTCCTCTGGAGTGAGACAGGAGGACATGGGAAACTTACCCAGGGTTGATCTCATCATCCCCACCCTGGCCCTACCCACCCTCAAAGCGAGACGATGTGCCAAGAGCAACCACTGTGTGTCACGCAGAGGACTATCAAGACGCGGACAGACAAGCAGAGAAGCACAGACCATCATCCTGCAGGGAATGCACTCTGTGTTCCTGAGAGAGGAGTCAGCCTGCACTACAGAGCTAACCCGTACCCTAACCCTACAGAGCTAACCCTAACGTGTACCCTAACCCTAACCCATACCCTAACCCTAACACATACCCTAACCCTAACCCATAACCTAACCTGTACCCTAACCCTAACCTGTGCCATAACCCTACAGAGCTAACCCTAACCCGAACCCAAACCTGAACCCTTAGGACTCAGCAGAAGCTTCTCGTTAAGACTTAAAAGCAAAGGACAAACGAGTGAGCCAAACGGAGCGAAAGGGGTGTATGAGAAGAAATAAAGGGAACAGTACGTGTAAAGCACAGAGGTGGAAAGACCCTGGCGTGTGTGAGGAACCACACGAGTGGACGTGGCTGACGTGTCATCAGGAACTGGCGACACGTCAGAAGGGTCCCGTGATGCAGAGCTCGGCGTGCTGCATTAGAGAGTTTGGACTTGAGCTTGGAAAGGGAGTAACTCACTGAAGAGTTGAAGCGTGAGCAGCTTTCCTTATGGTGAGTTGCTATGGCAACTCTGAAGACAGAGGGCAGGACGGGCAAAGGCCCGGCCTTATTCTGGACAGAACATGGCTGAGAAAGTGTGAAAGTAATATGCAACCAGAAAAAGAAATGATGAGGTGTCACCAAACCTGAGATGGTCAAGGGTCCAGGGCAAGGCCGAGGCTGGCAAGAGCAGCCTCAGAAAACTAGTGGCCAGTGAGCTGGGGATGCGGGCTTAGAAAACTGTCACCAGCCGGAAGGCCCAGTGGCCGGCCATTCAGTCTTCACTTAGCCTGGATGCCACTGCCACCTCCCAAGTGCAGGGATCAGTGCCACTGCACTCTGAATTGTGATCGGAATCTGAATCACGACTAGAATAAGCAGTGATGCGGAAAGCCTGCAGCTGGCATCAGGAAACACACCAACGATACAACCAGGGCCCTGGAGATCCTCCTCCGTAACCCAGGGCTTTGCCTGAGCAGAGGTGGCTCCAGAGAGGAGCTGGACACTAAGCTTACCCTGAGAGCAGAGAAGCTGGACACCAAGCTTACCCTGAGAGCAGAGAGGCACCCTGGCACCACCACCGAAGGAAGCTTCCAGGAGACCTCCCGCTCCATGGTGTGCACGCTGGGGTACCGGAAGGCGAGGGTCACTGGGACAATAAAGGCGCACTGTAGCCGTACATCCAACCAGTGGCAGCACCCGCTCGTGGCCCAGGTGGACACAGCAGCCTTCCTACCACACAGTAACACCACACAGCAACAGCACATCCACTACTCAGGTGCATGTGTAGCATGAACTGAACTACCACACTGGGCAACAAGAAGTCGAAAAGTACTATAAAGTAGAAACAGTACAAGCAACACTCTGATCACAGCGCAATAAAACAAACTTAATAATGTGGTCAAAATACGAAAAATTGCTTCCACCTACAAATTTTAGAACCTTCTACTAAACCACACTTGGGTAAAAGGGGAAATACAAACTCAAGTCATAGAATTTCTTCATAAAAATGAAAGTGAAATTACTACATATCAGAACCTAACAATGTGCTTAAATCAGAGAAAAATTCAGACATAAAAACACTCAATACAAAGTAATAAAGATAAGTGAATTGTAGTCCCAACTCAAAATGCTAGAAAAAGAACACAGGAGGCACAAGGAGAGAAACAACAAAGATAAAAGGAGAGGTTGATGAGGTAGAGAACAGAAACCACCAGACTATAATAAAAAAGTAAAACCCTGCTTCTTTAAAAGTAGTAAAATATACATGCTACTAACTAACCTAATTAAGGAAAAAGACATAAAAAATATTGTATACTTGCATAAGTATACAAAGTAAAACATGGTAAAGGGGAAATAACTATTAGAGAAGAAATTTTTTTTTTTAAATCAAAGTAACTTTACACATCTTTGGGCAAATAAATTTCAAAATGTAGATGAAATGAATAGCTGCCTAGGAAAATACGGTTCACCAAAATTGACCCCAGGCCTTCCCTGGTGGTCCAGTGGTTAAGACTTCACACTTCCACTGCAGGGGGCGTGGAAGATCCTGCATGCCGCCTGGCGTGGCCAAAAAAAAAAAAGAAAAAAGAAAACAAAATTGACCCCAGTAGAGACATATAGCATAAACAACCAACTTCCATAGAAAAATATAGAGAAAGTTAACACAGAACCATCATTCAAAAATATATCAGGCCCAGATAGTCTCACAGGAGATTTTTTTTTTTTTTACCAAATCTTGAATGAAAAGATAATCCAAATGGCATATAAATTGTTCAAGAGAAAATGAAGAAAAATGTTCACACTTTTGGTTTTGATTCTCACATGAACCAAACATAATGCTGCTAAATAGCACAGAAGAAAGTCTGTGTCTCCTTTGCACGTTAATGCAAGTCCCCAGTAAGGTGCCGCCAGAGCCCAGTACCGCGCTGGAAAAACAACACACCTTCCAAAGACACACAGATGGCCGAAAGGCACGTGGAAGGACGCTTAACATAACCAATCATCAGAGAAACGCCAATAAAAACCCCAATGAGATATAACCTCACACCTGTCGGAATGGCCATCATCAAAAGACCACAAATAGCAAATGTCAGTGAGGATGTGGAGAAAAGGGAACCCTCCTACACTGTTGGTGGGAGTGTAAATTGGTGCAGCCACTGTGGAAAACAGTATGGAGGTTCCTCAAGAAACAAAATAAAACTAACTACTGTATGATCTGGCAATGCCACTGCTGGGTACCTATCTGAAGAAAATGAAAAAATTCAAAAAGATATACGCACCCCAATGCTCACAGCAGCATTATTTACAACTGCCAAGATGTGGAAGCAACCTAGAGTCCATCAACAAATGAATGGATAAATAAGATGTGATGTATATATACAGCGGAATATTACTCAGCCATAAAAAAGAATGAAATTTTGCCATCTGCAACATGGATGGACCTGAAGGGTATTATGCTTAGTGAAATAGGTCAAAGAAAAACAAATACTATATGATATCACTTATATGTAGAATCTAAACTATAAAACAACTAGTGAATATAACAAAAAAGAAACAGATGTAGAGAACAAACTAGTGGTTACCAGTAAGGGGAGGGAGGGGGGAGGGGCAAGATAGAGGTAGGGGATTTAAAGGTACAAACTATTATGTATAAAATAAATACACTACAAGGATATATTGTACAGGGACTTCCCTGGCAGTCCAGTGGGTAAGGACTCTGTGCTTCCACTGCAGGGGGCATGGGTTCGATCCCTGGTTGAGAAACTAAGATCCCACATGCTATGGCCAAAAAAACAAAACAAAAACAAGAAAAGGATATATTGTACAGCACAGGGAATATAATCAATATTTTATAATAACTATAAACAGAATATAACCTTTAAAAACTGTTAACCAGTATATTGTATACATAAAACAAAATACTGTAAATCAACTATACCTCAAAGAAAGTTTTTGACAACTAAAATAAAACAAAACCATAAGCAAGTGGGATTTACTCCAGGAATATATTCCATATTAGGAAATCCATAAACAAAATTTACCATATTAATATATCTAAGGAGAAAAATAATACAGTTCAATAGATATTATAAAAGCATTTAACAAAAAAATCAACAATTCCTGATTTAAAAAAATACTCATGAAAACATGGATTGATGAATACTAAGCACACACATTAGTCCTTATATATCATCAAACCAAATGGGAAACAGCAGGGACCCTATCAAGGCCAGGAATAGGGCTTCCCTGGTGGTGCAGTGGTTGGGAATCCGTCTGCCAGTGCAGGGGACCCGGGTTCGAGCCCTGGTCCGGGAAGATCCCACATGCCGTGGAGCAGCTAAGCCCATGTGCCACAACTACTGAGCCTGCGCTCTTGAGCCCATGCACCACAACTACTGAGCCCATGCACCCTAGGGCCCATGTGCCACAAATACTGAGCCCGCGTGCTGCAACTACTGAAGCCTGCATGCCTAGAGCCTGTGCTCCGCAACAAGAGAAGCCAACGCAATGAGAAGCCCGCGCACTGCAACGAAGGGTAGCCCCCACTTGCCGCAACTAGAGAAAGGCCGCACGCAGCAACAAATGCAGCCAAAAAAAAAAAATTAAAAAAAAAACAAAAACAAGCAAGCAAAAACAGCAACTGATGGGATGCAGTGAAAGCAGAGCCTAGAGGGTAACTGATCACTGTAAATCCTATGCTTAGAAAGAAGAAAGTTTGCAACTTGTTTTACAGCGAGAACTGTCAGAGCACATTCATGTGATAAACAGAAATGACGCAGTAGACGGAGGACTGAAGATTCAGAAGACGAAGCCCTTGAGAACAGCCAGTACAGGGGACACTGACCTTGGAACCATGATGGGAGGCGCCTATAATCCCTTGTTTGTACAGAGGAGGGGGACGGGAGATCACGAGGGATGCGTGAGGCGGGGAGCGCAGGGGGTGGGGGTTTAAGAAAAGAAAACGTGGAACAGTCCTGACAGTGAAGAATCACTGGCTACAGAAAGGTCAAGGTTTGCCTGACAAGGGACCCACAGTAGCATAAACTTGAGGTGAGATCACGCTGCGTGGCTGTTTCCCTCCAGCCACGTTCTGTGGCTCAGGCATGAGCAGACTGGGGCTTACCAGTGCGGGATTCTGCCCAGAGAGTATGAGGAAGGAGCAAGGGGAAGAGTTTAACGATGTTTGGAACACAAGGCCATGGAGCCTACGCTGTCCGCAAGCAGGAAGACTTGGCAGAAGGTGGGACAAGGATGGTTATGAAAGCAACCAGTGGTTAACACCTCTGGTGGAGAGGTCCCGATAGGGCCAGCAGACTGCTGAATGCAGAAGGTACCAAAATAATTGAGATGGTCAGGGAAGAACCACGGTTAGAGAGCAGCAGGCTTGAAACCGAGATTCTGAAGTCGGCAGACTTACAAATCATGGCAAGGCCTAGGGGGAGACCCTGGGAACGCGTGGAGGCTGCAGAAGAGCTTGGTGGAGCAAAAGGAGGCAGGAAACTGGGAGCCCCGCCCCAGGCCCCCCACTCACCTATGGCCTTTTGGCAGCTGAAGATCGTAAAGCCACCATGCATACACGCTGCCAGGAGCAGGTGGGAGTGGAAAGGGTGCCACTTGAGCCTCCACACCCCGCCCTGCACGGGCATGTCCGCCAACGGCTCCTTCATGCTCCGAGTGTCCCAGAGAAGAACGTGCTCGTCGTAGCTAAAACCCATCGACCGCAGAGAGCGTGCAGGAAAGCAAGGCCCCGGGGCAGCAGGGGTCACCTCCCGGAAGACCCGGCCCACTTCCCCTCCAGGACCCGGTTCCTTTCCCAAACCCCGACGCCCGCGCTCTGGGTGGAGAGTTGGCCCAGTCGAGCATCACAGTGGCCAACAGGAGGGAAGGAAGCGACGGTGCAGGAGGAACCCATGTGCACGGACCCTAGGGGGCTCACCTTCCCGTGGCCAAGATGTTCTCGCAATGGGGGCTGCTCTGGATGCTGCACACGCCCATGGAGTGTCTGAGAGCGAAGGGTGAGCCTGAGCAGAAGCCCGGCAGCGCTGCTCCGCCTGCGGGCAGGGAGGGCTGGCCCCTCACGCCGAGCACTGGCCCCTCGGTGACGTACCTCCTGCTTGTGAACACGGATGTGCCAGGGGTCCTGGTGTCCCAGCCTTTCAGAAGGCCGTCGTCCCCACCTGCATGGAAACAGAAACAGCCACTGATGAGGAAGGGCACTGATGGCCGTTTCTCAGGGACTGGGTTTATGTCTGTGAGGAAATTCCCACGGGTGGCTTTTCTCAGGTTTCAGGCTGCCACAGGCAGGGGAGCCCCAGAAACAGTCACCCCTGTGCTGTAACCGTGTCTTCAGACACCTGCAGGGAAGAAGGGAAAGACAGAGGCTACACCCGTAGGAAAAGGGCAGACCTATGGGGGCAGAATGACCAGGTCACACAAGACTCAACCCTTCGGGCTCCTGATGCCAGGAACCAGAGTGGCCCCGTCGAAGTGCTCCGAACAGACCTGCGTGCAGGAGGCATCAGACAGGGAGGCTCTGTAAGGTTCTGGAACCTTTGACACACCGCCATGTGTTTTAAAGAGAAATGCCCTTTGTAACCTTACAGTAAAAGAGCCCTGTGCTTGTTTGGGGGAAACTGAAAGGATAGAAAGAACAAGGGAGCCGGTGCTCTGACCCACAACCAGTCTTTGAAGAAAAGCAACATCAAGATAGAATGTCATGGTATCTCGAGGGAAAAGGGAAGAAACACTGAAGAGGAAGACCTACAGAGAGGACAAAAAGGAGCAAAAGAACAACCACGTCTGCCTGAAACTCCATCCGTCCATCATCTACCACCCACCCACCCACCCATCCACCATCCACCCACCCACCCACCCATCCACCATCCATCCACCACCTACCCACCCATCCACCACCCACCCACCACCCACCCACCCATCCACCACCCACGCACCCATCCACCATCCATTCACCCACCCATCCACCACCCATCCATCCACCACCCACCCATCCACCCACCCATCCACCATCCATCCACCATCCATCCACCATCCATCCACCATCCATCCACCCACCCACAGGTACTTACTGAGCACACTACAAATCCCTATATCAGACAAAACGGATGTGGGATGAACATGATCTATGACAAGGTGGGTCAGCAGAGTCAGTCCATCCAGGCACTGAGCCTGTGTGTGAGTCTCAAATACAAGCTGCCATTCTGTGGCAAACCTGTGAAGAGAACCGGTGTGGCTTCTTTACACAGCGGTCTCTCCTCTTTCTCTCACACTCCACATTTGCTCCACCAGGAAATCCTATTGATCGACCTTCACACCAAGCAGTCTTCCCACTTCTCCTCCTCTCCACTGCTCCCACCTTAGCCTGAGTCACTCATACCTCACCTGCATGGCAGGTCTCCAGCCTATACCCTCACCCCCTTGCAATCTATACTCAACATATTAGCTGAAGGGATCCTCTTAAATTTTTTTTAAATTTATTTTAAAAATTTATTTATTATTATTATTATTTTTTTGGCTGCGTTGGGTCTTCATTGCTGTGTGCAGGCTTTCTCTAGTTGCGGCGAGCGGGGGCTACTCTTCACTGCAGTGCGCAGGCTTCTCATTGTGGTGGCCTCTCTTGTTGCGGAGCAGGGGCTCTAGGTGCACGGGCTCAGTAGTTATGGCACACGGGCTTAGCTGTTCTGCGGCATGTGGGATCTTCCCGGACCAGGGCTCGAACCCGTGTCCCCTGCATCGGCAGGCAGGTTCTTAACCAGGGAAGTCCCAGATCCTCTTAAATTTTAAAATGTAAGTCGGAAAATGTCATTCCTCTGTTCAATATCCTACAATGGCTTCATTCTACTCCGAGCAAAAGCCCAAGGCCCCCCTGCGGCCTGCAAGGCCCTGTGCCCTGTCTCTGTGACTCCTGACCTTGCCTTCTCTATCCTACTGCTCACTCATGTCATTCTGGCCGTACTGGCCACTCGCTACTCTGAACACACCAGTCTCTATAGTGCGACAACCTGCACCTGCTTGCAGCACCTGATGCCCTCAGCCGGTCCTAGCTTTCTTCTTCCCAAAGCCCGTGCCACCTGCAGCACATAGTATGCCTAGCGTTCACTGTCCATCTCCCCACAAGCGACGGAAGTGCGATGAAAGCAGGGACTGTTGTCTCTTGCTCACGGATGCCTCCTGAACCCCTAGGACAGTGCTTGGCACGTAGTAGGTGCTCAGTAGATGCTTGTTGGATGAATGAATTGGTGTTGAATTATTAAATCACTGTCCTACTACACCCTTGCTGTGAATTAGCTAAGCCTCAAGATAGAAGAACTAATCTACAAATGAGAGCTCAAAAAATTAAATCTTTATCGTTCTCCCTGAGTCTGTTCAAGGGTGTGACAGCAAAAACTCCAGAAAGGATCCTCTCTCAGGGGAAAAGAAGCATTAAACACAAAATCATAATCAGGATGAGCGGGACTTCCCTGGCAGCCCAGTGGTTAAGAATCTACGCTACCAATGCAGCGGGCTCAGGTTCGATCCCTGGTCAGGGAATTAAGATCCCGTAGGCTGCACAGCGTGGCCTAAAAAATTAATCAATTGATTGATTAATTTTTGAAAAGAAAAAGAGAAAACCAACAAGACACAGACTCAGAGGAGCAGTGAGCAGACACAGATGTGTGATTTGGGTGAGCAGACCTTGTCCTGGGGCCGGGACATCAGGCAGGCGCAGGTATGTGACAGGGCAACACAGGGAGTATGGGGCTCAGCTGGAGACCCGCGGAGTGATGAGCGCTGCAGTGCTGGCAAGACAATGCAGAAAAGCTCAGGAAACAAGGTCTGGTTAAACACAGTGTTTGTGGAAGAGACACAGTAACTGAAGTCAGGAGAGCAGCAATGCGGAGCGAGAGGAAGATCCACACAGAGGTCAGAGGACGGTGAACCCTTTGGTGCGGAGGGAAAGGAGCCCACAAAGCAGAAGGAAGAGAAGCCAGAGAAAGAAGGGGAGAGTCCAGATGGCATGGTGTTGATGACCCAGGGAAAAGAATGTGCGGGGAGCGAGGGGTCGGGCATGTGAACACCGCTGAGAGGCCAAGACGAGGCTGATGTGCTCCCTGGACTGGGCACCACAGCTGTCCCTCAGGGCCTCAGCAGGAGCTTCTGGGGGCCCAGCATCCTGACAGGCCAGCAGCACAGCCCTGCAGCCCTGGCCTCCCCGTCTCGCCCTGGAGCTCAGAACAGTACCAGCAACTGGACGCAGAAAGGGATACGGGTGCAGATGGTTTCTTGCCTCTGCAAATTCAGCAGCTCCTCTTCTGTCTTCTCTCAGAGACCCATGCCCTCCCCTGCCGTGAGCGTGAAAGGAGCTGACCTGAACGACCTCGTTCCCACGTCAGCATCCCGCTGCATACACACCGCTCTCAGTACCAGGAAGTCAACCCTCTCTCTCTCACGCTTCCCTTTCCCTAGGAAGATCAACTACTCCAAAAGGGAACAGACAAGCCTGAAATGCATGACAAGTCACTACTGGACCCAAAGTACCAGGTGGAGAGCAAGGAGTTCCGACTGGATTTCCGAGTGTGAGAAGAAGCATCCAACACTCAGAGCGAGGGCGGGGGCGGCGGCTCCCGGGGGCGGCTCCAACACGGGGGCACTGCCACCCAAGACCCTGCAGTGCCTGCAGCAAACTGCACTTCACTCTCCGAGGAGCAGCTAAGTGAGCACCAACTACAGCTTTTGCCCCAGAAAACAGACTCTCCAAAACAGTCTTTGAGATCCCAACGTGGCCAGAATCACACCCTTGGCCCGTGCCTCCTCAGCAAATCTCCAGAGAGGGGCGCCCAGCGGAGGAGTACCGACCTGAATACACGACTTCCGTCTGCCAGTAATCGAAAGCAGCAACCCAGGCCTCCAAGTGATGGGCCTGCCACGTGCCCACAGCCTGCATTCCTGGCCCTGCCTGGTGCGCCTGCAGGAGATGGAGCTGCCCGCTGGAGTCGCTGCCAATGATCTTCAAGGGCTGGTCACTGGCCCTGGACACAGGGAAGCAGTGGGGAAATCTGGCTGAAATACATCCACTGACCCAAACTCATCACCTCTTCTGGCTCCCAACCAGTGACGCTTTATGGCCCCAAGACCTGTCACAGAGAGGCTCTCCAGGACCTGGTACGGGGATACGCTTCTTAAGAGGCTTGCCTGGGCAGAGACCGAAGCTGCCAGTAGCTTGTCAAAATACACCAGGGTCAGCTTCCCCTGATGAAAACACTCTTTTTAGGTGAGGACTGGCAGTGATTCTCCCAGGCTTGGGGAGCCGCAATCAAGGCTAGCACAAGGGGCTTTCCTTCTCTCTTGCATGAAAATACGAAGGGACCCTCAGAGGAAAGACTCAGGCCCGTCACCCCTGCCCTCACCTTCCGGCTTTCCCAGTGGACCAGTCCAAGGACAAGGCCAGACACTGCTTTTCCAGGGCAAAGTGGGAGAACGGCTGTAGTGTGTGAGAGTTCTGCTGGAGAGAAAAGAACGCCATCAGAGAGGAACAGCCCCGGAACCCTGAGGAGACTATTCTCCTGGCTTGGGTATGCCATGCTTCCCTCATCTACTCGGTGAACAAAGTGTGTCAGTCACTCACTCACAGCAGAACCTGAGGACAGGGGCTTCCCTGGTGGCAGAGTGGTTAAGAATCCACCTGCCAATGCAAGGGACACAGGTTCGAGCCCTGGTCCGGGAAGATCCCACATGCCGTGGAGCAACTAAGCCCGTGCGCCACAACTACTGAGCCTGCGCACCTAAAGCCCTCGCTCTGCAATAAAGACAAGCCACCACAACGAGAAGCGCGCTCGCAGCAACGAAGACCCAACGCAGCAAAAAAAAAAATAAAAAAAAAAAAAAAAAAAAAAGAACCTGAGGACACTGCAGACGGCCCAGGCCCTCCAGAAGCACTCACACCTGAAGGAGGACTTTCCCACACATGTGACCCCAGGGGAAGCAGGTCTCTGCTTCTCAGACCCGTCGCTGTCCAAGCCCTCCTGGAGACTACTGCAGGCTCCAGGGAGCACTGCTGGTGCGGGTTCCCCACTGCCCAGGCCTCCAGGGACAGAGATAAGGAGAACTTTCCTCTGATTCTCTTTCAGAAGCCACAGCTTGCCATTAAAATGCTGTTTCTCTTTTCTGAGGTCTAAGTTTTACTATCTAAGCAACCTAGACAGCGCTCAACTCCATCAACAGGGTTCCAGCAGCTGTATCCTCTCTTGGGTTTACCTGTTCTTGCCTCCAGCTCTGGTTCTAGATATCCTCCTCAGATATTTCTTCTCTCTTTCCTAAGACAGGGCTGCTGCTCTCAGCTGGCCTGAAGCAAGGACCTTGCTATACAAGCCCTCAGGTGCTGTGAATGCAAGGCCAGCTGGACCTCTGCTCCAGTCCCACTTGCAGCACCTACATTAGAGTGGGTCCCCCCACACACAGGGCACGGTCTTGTGGGCTGTTTCCTTCAACCCACTATATGCCTTCCCTGTCCCCTCCCTCCCCCAACACGTGGTCATTTTACAAATGCACGGTACAGGATCACTGTCAGATGCTTGGGAAAATACATGTAGGAACCACGTGCTCCCCTGATTATCAATGAGAAACACCACTTTTACCCAGTAAATGCGCTGCTCTTCTTAGCCCCAGCACCATCAACCCAGGATGCTGGCCCAGGCTTTCCTTACAGGACTTTCAGGTCCACTGACAGCCCCGCTGATGACACACAAGGTGTCCTCCCCTTGGAGTTAGATACAGAACCCAATAACTCAAAATAGACCGTGTGCTACCTTGGAATGTTTTATGGTAAAGTTCACCGTTGAACAGAAACTACCCTAGAAAAATGTTTGTATCAGCACAGCCTCCCTCCCAAACCCCCTCCATCCAGGTTCCTTCCACCCTCCACTAAGCCTGGCCCCAGTCACTGACCTCGGATCGCACCAGGCGGAGTAGCTCTATGGACCCAGAAGCATCTGCCACTCCCAAGAGCGCATGGCCGGCCACCGCGATGTGGCACCTGAGGAGATAACGCACGTGCCGGTCACAGCACAGGATGTGCCGGAGTACAGGGGAACACTATGCGCCCCAGTAACTCATTGTTTACATTGCAGCTACAGGGAATTCCCTGGCGGTCCAGTGGTTAGAACTCTGCGCTTTCACTGCCGAGGGCCCAGGTTCGATCCCTGTTCGGGGAACTAAGATCCCACAAGCCGTGCAGCACGGCCATAAATAAATGAGTGTATTTATTTCAGCTCCAAAACCAGGTTGGAGCCTACAGTTCTGTTCCAACAAGATCACTCAGCTTAGGAAGCAGAAAACTAGCCTCACTTCCCAGACTGACAGTACCTGTAGGGCTTGGAAACTGAAAAAGGAAACGAGCCCCAAGTCTATAGCATCCTCCAAGTGCCAACAGGCAGGCAGGACAGCGCAGTAAAGAAATGAACCCAAACTTCAGACACTTCCCCGTCCTGTTGAATGCTGTCAGGCATCAGGCTCCTCTGACCAAACAATTAGGTACTCATGACAAATTCCAAACAAGGGGAACGGTTATCAAAGTTGTACCATTTCATGTCCAGGATCGCCGAAGTATCTCTTCTTTGGACCTCAACCAGGGGGCAAGGAGAGTTGTCCTCATTGAAACTATACAGGTAGAGACGACCCAAACGAATTTGAGGCGCATCAACATCCAGTCCACTCTACAAAAAATACAAATGTGTTCTCTGATTACCTTAATAAATACTGAGGAATCCAAGGGATGGGAAAAGGGACTGAGGGAAAGAAGAGGTTTGCCAAGACTCCGGACCTCTGCCTGGAAGCAGCACCGATGATTGTCTGAGCTGGAGAAACGTCTCTTCTCTTGTACATGATTAGTGAGTAGGTGGATAAACCCTGCTGGGCCCAGGATGGGATGCTCCTTCTAAATGGGCCAATAGGCAGGAGCTACAGTTAGGGTCCCCACAGGACACAGTTTGCCTGGGAGAGTCCTGGCTTAGGCCTGTTGCTCCGGTGCCACTGTTCACTCTTAAAAGTATCTTGGTTTGGATCTATCTGCATAGCTAGATGCCTTCAACAGATTACGTACAGCTCCTATGAAATCCCATTTTCTCTTTGCTCTAGACTTCATCCATAACCTTGACGACGCCTGCAGAGAGACGACATCCCGCTTTCAGGATGCCCTGTCTCTAACCTACATTCTGGCCACAAGGCCAAGGTCGCATCCACACCTCCTGAACGACTCCACACAAGACTTTTCCCTTTCAGCCTCCCCCGCAGCAGATCACAGAGATCTCAAAGCCTGTGGTCGGCTCTGCCTCTCAAGAGCCTTTTCTCGCCCTTCTTGAGAGAGGAGTTCGAGGCTGGGGCTTTAGGTGCTCGGGAAATGCCACCTGAGATCGCAGACCTGCAAACCCACGGTGAAGACCTCCCTAGGCCACGATGGCCCCGCGCACCTTGCTCTCCGGGTCGGCGGGCTGGTCCTCCGGCTTCCGCAGCTGGTAGGTACCGCACGCCAGCAAGTGCCTGCAGCCCTCCAGCGGGCACCACTCCACCGAGTCCACGGTGTGCTCCGTGTCCACCGCCTGCAACAGCCGGACGCGACTGCCGGCCGCCCAACATTCGGATAAGGACGCGGCGGCGACCGGGGTGGCGGACAGCGGGCGGCGGCGAAGTGAGGAAGCCAGGCTGACAGCAGGGTCCCCGAGCCCGCGGCGACAAGAAGGTGCACAGCCCAAGGGGCGGTACTTCTCCCACTTCCGCCGTCGTCCCCATGACTCCTTCCGGGGAGGGACTTCCGGCCCCCGTGGACGCCAGCGTGAGGCAGAGATCTCACGCCCCCTGCCGGCCGGCGAGCCTCGACTGGCCCCACGTGCCACGGCGCGCCCCCTGTCGTGGCGGCGAGACGCGGGCCTGGGAGGGGACAGCCGAGCGTCCAGCACAGAGTCACGGGCGAGCTGGGCTCTGAAGGGGGAGCAGAGGAGAGCGCGGCATGGAGGTGGGGTGTGCAAGGGGCCTGGGCGTCCAGGGAGCAGAGTCCAGGGTCTGACCCAAAAGGGCTGGGCCTGGGCTGCCCTCCCTCTCCCTGGTCATGTCCACCCCCAAGGAGCTGCCCATAGGGCAGTAAGCGCGGCGCACCGGTGGGCGCACATGTGCCTGACTGGACAGCAGAGAAAGGAGACAGGGTCAGCCACAGGGCCCCGAGCACGGGTGGTGGACGGGAAGGTGGACAGAAGGCATGGAGAAGAGCCAGCGTCTAAGCCCCAGCGGCAGGGGTCCGTGCGCCAGTTAGATTTAGGATGAAGGGGAGGACACCCAGCACAGCCACGATCTGATTTGGTAAACCAGGTATGTGTCGACAGCATTCAATAAAGTCAGTGAACTCTACAGAACAGGTTTGGGGAAGGCAAGTGTCTGATATTGTTATGGATTGAATTGTGTCCGCAAAAAAGAGATGTTGAAGTCTTATCTCCAGTACCACAGAATGTGACCTTTGGAAACAGGGTCTTTAGTAACAGAAGTAATCCAGTTAAAATGAGGTCATTAGGATGGCCCTAATCCAATATGACTGGCATCCTTAGGAAGGGGAGGTGTGGTCTGTTAAACACCAACGGAAGACAAGACAACGTAAAGACTGGTAGGTCTCTATGAGGCAAGGACCGCCTGAGGCTGCCGGAAGCTGGGAGAGCCTGGAACAAACCTTCCCTAAAGCCTTCAGAGGGAGCATGGCCCTGCCCACACCTTGATTTGAGAATTCTGGCTTCTAGGACCTAGACCATACATTGTTTTCAGCCACCAGCTTGAGATAATTTGTTATGGCAGCTCCAGGAAATGGGACAAGACAAATCCACATGGCTACCTGGGTAGTTAGCCTGTGGTTTTTAAAGTGGTTTCTATCGCTAGAAATACAGATACCAGTCAGCAGCTCAGATGGCAGCTGAAGCAGAGAAGCAGAAAAGGTTGGTCAGGAAGCCACAGGACAGCCTGAAATGGCTGAGCCACACATCTTGATTTGATCTGGTACAAAAGGCAGTCAGGCCAAGCAGCCCCCTACACCTCGCTCCAAACAGGTAAGAAACATGGCCCACGTTTTAACCATGGATGAATGCTGAACTTTCAGACGCTCTCAGATGTGTGGCTACAAAAATTAAGAGGTTCGGGGCCTTTAGAAGAGAAAAGAAACCAGGGGCTGGGTATCAAATAAAGAACAAGGGAAGCAAAGGGGAATAAAAACACTGTGTGGACCCTGGGGCAGCTTCACGAGGGCATCCGCTCCAGGAGACTTGATATGAGCAAACCCTAGGCCCCCATGGCCACCACCCTCTTAGCTCCAGCCCAAAGAGTCTCTAACAAGTAGCACAAGACACAGCACCATCAGGAGGGGACAGCCACCAACTACAGCACCAGCTCCTGCAGCCACGTTGGATAGCGATCCCCAGGTCAAGGCTATTCCAGATGAGCCATGAGCCACGGCGGCAAGCACCCGGGATCAGGACCCAGCGTGGCATCCTATGGGTCGGCCGACACTCTGGCACTTCCCTTTCAATGTAATTTTCCAAGGAATAGCTGATCACAAGACAGTCCTGGTCAGGAAACGTAAAAAGCCTGGAGGGCCGACCTGGCCACTCCCCAAAGGACACAGGCAAGACACACAGCCTGTAGCCCAGGGCCTCCTCATCCCAGGAGCCTGTTTTTAAAAGCAGACTGAGCACACTCAGGGCCCCATGCCTGGAAGACTACCCAAACCTCAACACGCTGGTCTACACCGGATTCCCCACCCCCATGGGCCTGGCCAGAGCTGGCCTCTGAATTGGGAGTTATCCTGGCCCTAGGAACGTCCCGAGGGCTCGGGCCAGCTGTGGTCGGTAGGACAGTCTCTCAGGATCACATAGCCTCTTCTCTGACAGCTTTCTGAGCCCCCACTGGTGGTCAACCTGGGGTCTGGGGGAACCCAGAACAAAAAACCCCAACCTGGAAGAGGCACCACAGCTGACCTGCACGGTAGCAAGGTCTTCTCAGCAAAAACCCGTGTGGGCACGTGGAGTCCCTTCACCTGCAGAAAACCCCTCCCTCGGGGTTGGAACTGAGCCTTCCCTCATGCTCCCTGCATATTGCTATCACCCATTTCCCCAGTCCTGTTCTCCAGGACGCACTGCCCAGGAGGCCTCCAAGTTCTGCAAAAGAAGCTACTTTTAAGCTCAGCTCAGCTCACAGACCAAAGGCCACAAAGGGGCTAGCCCCAGCCAGGGAAGCAGAGCACACACAGGGCGTCCTGGGAGATTGCAGAAACGCTGCAGAAAGGAGGGCGTGGCAGGAGCCTGCAGGACCGACGTGGGGCCAGGGATGACCCAAGACGGGTGTCAGCCTTCACTCTCCCTGGAGACCAGCAAGTTCCCAGCCACACCACCCAGCTTATGGCCCCCAGGCGGCTTGGCCAGGTGTACCAGACGCTGCCCAGCCCTGAGATCTGCGGCTCCCAGAAGGAGCACAGGAAAGCAGTTCTCACCCCTCGGGCTGCTCCAAGTCGCAGGCGGACCTCAGCAGTCCTGCGGGAGAAGCCCCACCCCCCCGCCCCGCCCCGAGCTCCCAGGCGCCCACTGTATGAGTTCAAAGGGGCTGAGAACAGGGGCCAAGCAACTAACCACCCTCAGCAGCTCCTGCCGCAGGACAGGGACACGTCTGGGTCTCCCTCACGCTCCCACGCAGCCTGGGGGTGGGGACGGCAGCCCTCGCACCCGCACCCACACCACGGATGCCGGCCGAGGCGGAGAGCAGACAGCAGCCAGGACTCCGGGCGGTCCCACCCTTTACTTTGCCCCAAACCGGGCGGGCCGCCCTCCTCGGCTCAGCCGCCCGGAAAGTGACAGTTACAGCAAATGACCCTATTTGTACTTTCTAACCCTCCCGCTGCCTCCCCCCCAAAAAAACTGTACATGAGTTTACAAACATATTAACATATAAATAATGAGAAGCGTCCCGGGGGGCCTCCCAGCTGTCTCTGCTCCGCGGGGTGCGGGGGGGGGGGGGCGCCTCCGGTGGCGGAGCCGGTGCAGGAACAGCCCCTGTGGTGGCCCCGGTCCAGCTGCCCGCAGAGCCCGCAGCCCGGGGAGATCAGAAGCCACTTGACCGCCCGGTCATCGCTCCGGCTCAAGCTCGTGCTGGAAGGGGCGCCTCTTCTCCCGACAGTGCTTCTTGTGGGCCGGCCAGTCCTTCTGCTGGCACTGGGAGCCGCAGTAGCGCGCCACCTGGCAGCGCCCGCAGATGTTGAACTCCCGGAGCTGAAAGGACACAGAAGAGCAGCGCTCCGGTCACACGGCAGACCTGCGAGGACCTGGCCGCCCGTGCGCTGAGGCCGAAGGGTCTGGGCCCCGGTCAGGCAGTGACAAAGGAACGGCCACCGCAGGGGAGAAGCCGCGAGAGGGCAGTCCTAGGGGAGGCCCGGCTCCCCCACCGCGCACCTGCTTCTCCATCATGGTGCAGGGCGGGTAATGGCACTCGTAGTAGGTGCAGGACGTCTCCTCCTCCTCCACCACGTCCCCATTGGCGTTGTAGTACCGGGTCACGTTCAGGACGGGGAACTGCTCCTCTATGGGGTCCGTGGGCAGCTGCTGAATCGCCAGCCAGTATAAGCTTTGCTCCCTTAAAGAGAGAGCAGGCGCTTCAGGATGCCTTGGCCAGGAAGGGTCAAGGTATGGAGGTGACAATGAGTGACCCCAGGGTGGACCAGCTGCTTCCTCTTCTCAGGCTGCCCCGCCCCCAGCTTTGCAGCTTGACTCTCCTTTGGCCCACCCCACTGCCTGGGCTCACCTCTCTGGAACATCCAGTATGTAGCCTGTTTCATCTTCCCACTAAAAGGCACAGGGCAGGGCTTTGTCTGCCTTGCTCGTCAATCTCCCCAACGCCTGGGACGGCTGCACACAAGACAGGCACGGAGATCACGTGCTCGCGGCCCCGGGGGCGCCCACATCTGCCTCTGGTTGGCCTGCCTGCCCGATTGCTGTGAGCTGCTCTACACCCCCCGAACACTTCTCTTGCTGGACAGGGCCAGAAGCTTGTAAGTGCCCGCAACTGCCCCACAAGAGGCACGGGCGGTGGGGTGAGCACAAGGCAATGAGCGGCCTGCCCTGGGGCTGGCCTCCAAAGGAGGCACCTCCCGCACTTCGAGAGCAAACGGATGGGTGGACCATCCCCTTCAACCCACCCACCCTCTCTGGAGACCGGGCCGGGAGGGACTTGGATAAAAAAGGGAAGGGTCTGGCACAGCACTGTAAATCAACTATACTTCCAAAAAAAAAAGAAAAAAGGAAGGGTCACCCTCTTCTAATGTGACAGACAAAAATTAATTCAAAATGGATCAAGGACCTAAATGTAAGACCCCAAACAATAAAACTCTCAGAGAAAACAGGACAAAAGCTTCACAACATCGGATTTGGCAATAATCCTGGATATGACACCAAAGGCACAGTGACGAGAGAAAAAATAGGCAAATTGGACTCCATGAAAAGTCAATTATTTTGTGCATCAAAAGAGACAATCAGGGACTTTCCTGATGGTGCAGTGGTTAGGAATCCGCCTGCCAGCGCAGGGGACACAGGTTCGAGTCCTGGTCCGGGAAGATCCCACGTGCCGCGGAGCAACTAAGCCTGTGCACCACAACTACTGAGCCTGCGCTCTAGAGCCCGAGAGCCACAACTACAGAGCCCACATGCTGCAACTACTGAAGCTCACACACCTAGAGCCCGTGCTCTGCAACAAGAGAAGCCACCCCAGTGAGAAGCCCGCACACAGCAATAAAGAGTAGCCCCTGCTCACCGCAACTAGAGAAAGCCTGCGCACAGCAATGAAGACCCAATGCAGCCTAAATAAATAAATAAATAAATAAAAACTTAAAAGAGACAATCAATAGACAATCAATAGAATGAAAACGCAACCTATAGAATGGGAGAAAATATTTGCAAACCATATATCTGATAAGGGATTTGTACCCAGAATATATAAAGAACTCTACAAGTCAACCAAAAAAACAAATGACCCAATTTAAAAAAGGGTAAAGCATCTGAATAGATATTTCTCCAAAGAAGACATACAA